TGATTTGTAACAGATAAGGATTCTTACAAAATTCTTGGACGTTTTTGTGACATATCATTAATACGTCTTAATATTTAACTATAAAAGCTCTCAGTAGCAGAACTGCTCTAGACAGTAAACATATTCTTATTTAAAAAAAAGATTAGTATCAAGTCCACTAATGTTCTGCAGTGCTAAACTTGTATAGGATATTTCAAGGGATACATCTTTCTGAAAGTAAACGGGTCAAATTCAATATGAACATTTTGTGGTAATTTTGACCAAGAAACGCCTTGTTGAAGTTTGTAGCGTTGTATCATACTAGGACAAACATTTTTTTCTAAAGTAATAATTGATAAAGTTCTACAATTCTTCAAAAATACTCAAGAACAAGTGAAGTTGAAAAGTCTGTCACAGTACCACCTACAATACTTACTTTCAAATTTTTTGCAAAAAGTACCCAAATGATGTCACAATTTGGAGATGTCTGAAAGGATATAACGAGCGTTCAAATAAAAACGTGGTCGAAGTTGGCTCTGACACATTGGACGTAGGGAGTAGCTTATAGCGACCAACTTAACCTCATTTCTCAACGAGCTGTATAGCAGCTGTCAGTTTCAATAACGTTAATGACTATATAACTTTATTTTAAAGAATAATCGTGATAACAATAACAAACAATTAAAAGGAGCTGCGGAAAGTGTCCCCCTCCTTGTTATAACAATAAATTAAAGCAGCTGCTGAAGGTGTCCCCCTCCTTGTTCCATGCACTTTTCATACCTGTTCCTCAAAGAATTAAAGACATTTTCTAAGATGCTCGGGATATTGTTAATTTCACGAATCTTGTCTATAAGTCGAGCCTGCAGATGGTTTAAATCAGGAATAGGCAGTTCAAATATAGTGTTTTTAAGGTAAGGCCACAAAAAGAAATCACACGGCGTAATATCACATGACCTCGGTGGAAATTCATGTTCAGCAATTGAGACTTATTAGTCGATTTTGGAAAACTTCCCTCAACATATTCATCGTCTCGCCTGCCGTATGTGCCCTTGCGCCATCTTGTTGAAAGTAAAAGTTTGTAATTTCGTTTTCTTCCAGCTGGTAAACAAAAGGAGCGATAATTTCTCTATACCTTTGCGCAGTAAGAGTACCATTAAAAAAAATAGGTCCATAAATCCTCCTTGGATTGAGAGCACACCAAACTCCAATTTTTTGAGCGTGTAGAGGGCCCTCGACAAAAAAGTTATCTGTTTTTTCAGAAGACCACATTCTCATATTCTGTGAGTTTACGTAACCACTTAAATGAAACCAGGCTTCATCAGAAAAAAAGGTGATATTATGAAGTTCACCGTAGTTGTTTAAAAACCATTCACAAAATACAGCCCGTCGCGGAAAATCAACTTCATGAAGTTCTTGCTGACAAGTTAAACGATAGGAGAACAAACGCAAATCTTTTTTTAACACTGTATGGCAGGTACCGACTGATACTCCCACCATTTGTGATAAAACACGTACAGAAGTTCTTGGCGCATTTTCCATTATTTGTTGGACATTTTCTTTTAATTCTTCAGTCCGCTTATAAACACTTTTTGTTCTTGAGAAAACACCATTTTAAACGCTTTTTAAAACGAAAATATTCAAATTGATAGCGGCGATATAGCGCTTTGACAGATGACGTTTAAGTTCATTAGCTATACGCTACGCCCTACGTCCAAATTTTCAGAACCAACTTGACCACGTTTTTATTTGAACGCTCGTTATTATTAAAACCTTTTTTAATCCCACTTCTGATACAAAGATTTTCTTTCTCGCTTTTCTCATCATCTAACGTCCTACCATACTCCGGTCTATTTTCCGTATAAAAGAATCTAATATTTATGGGGCAGAGGGTGGCGTAGTCGTCCAGCGGCGGGCGAGTACGCGCTGGATTGGACATTAATAGTTAATAATGTGAGTATAATTACTGAAACTGCCTCATCAATCAGGTGCCTGTCACCCAATCATAACTCGAGAATCATTAATAGCGATGAAATCCACAATATTAAACTACATTCCTCTGGTGAGCGAAATGCAATCTACTGAATGTAATTATTGAACGCATATGGTTATTTTATTCAGTTAGATTACATACATAATTTGTAAATTACACAACTGGATCACATTGCAGTACAATACATATATCACACGAAAAGGAAAAAGAAAAGGTATGGCAGATTCGACAAATTAATATTAAATGCATGTGTTGGAAAAAAATATGGACATCTATAAACCGTTGTAACTTGTAACATAGACTCCAATTTGTCAGAGCAGTTTTAAAAAAGAATATCGCTATCTCGTAATAATTTTTTTCATCCCCTTGTGTGTGTTCCGGAATACGATACAGCTTTTTATGGAAAAGGACTGGTTTTAAAAAAGATTTTAAATTATCGCTCACCACCAGTCCAAAAGCATATCGTTTTCGAATCGGGGTAATTTTTGCTGCGGCGCTGTTTAAAGTTAATTTAAATTTTTATCCAGTTCGATGAAAAATGATTACTTTTTGACGAGAAAGTCTTTGATATTTAATAACCTATCATGGGGCAACACTGACACAATTTTCATATTTCGCATTAGTCGGACGAAATTTTTAATTTAAATGTACCAGGACTAAATCAAAAGCATACCTACATGTACATTATGTATCGTAGTAAAAATTAAGAAGAGTTTATAAAAAAAAATCCCAGAATTAACTTTTAGTCCAAACTTAACGTTTTAAGTTTAGTCTTTGCCGTAAAAAGTTAAAGATACAGATTTCAATTAGCCAATTTATAAAAATGTTAAGTTTTAGTCTTAGCAATATCCTATCTTATATTTTGGAAGTAATACCAAGACCACAACAAGTACACATGCTCAGAAGTCCTCATTTCCTATCTAGCTATACGTATGTTCCGTTACTGATGGCCAATTCTAAGCCTGGGACTACATTTTTATAAAAAAGTTAAAGATATTGGCTTAAAATTAAGACTAGAGTTTAAGATTATTGTAAAGTTACGACTAGAATTAAGATCTTTTTAAAAACTCATTATAGACCCATGTGAGATTGCCAAACTTCCATCAAATTTGTTTGATCAAAATAATTTGATGACATCAAACTTAACTTTTATACCATCAAATTATTCAAAATGATTTGGTCAAATTAATAAAATGATAAAAGCTAAGCTGAAAACGGACCCAAAAGTTATCAGTTTATTTTTTCAAATATTTTGTACTATACGCGAGTGTGAATGGTATATGGTGTATAAAGAATACTTGCGCGTATGGTGACAATAACGAGACTGATGACAATGAGACAATATGAAAACATATATTGGAATAGAAAAACTCGTTTTTTAAATAATTTACTATATTTCTAGCATAAACATCGCATCATTCATTTTATTTTGCAAAAACTCTTCTTCACACTTAAACTTGACAGACTAGAGATTTATGAAAAGTATATCTGGGTGCTCAGACCACTAGCACTACTAGCAGTCCTCATTATTATTTTAGAGAAAGTACCGTGTTAGATCACTACAAGTTAATTTTTATACTTATAGTCCTAATATCTAAAGTTATACATTCATGTTTAGACTCTAAGTAGGTACTTAAACTGACTTTTTTAACATGTATCACTCCCTACTTTTTCAAATGATAAATAAGTAGTAAAAACAAATTTACATTTAAATAAATACAAAAAAAATTAATTCACCAAAAATAATCATTTAATAAAAATTGATTCCAAAATTTTCGATACACTGCCCTGCTTTGGATAAAGACCGAATGTGCAGTTTTGTGACAAATTGAGAAAATTACATTTTCGAAATCTACATCGCATTATACCTACCCATCTACAAATATCAAAAACATAGTTTTTGTTTCTTTATATTTAAAAATTTGTGCATTTTAAATTTCTAATATTGTGTCATTCTTATTTTCTTCGGCGCTATCCTAGAAAACTAGAAAAAAACACCGTATGTGTCTGATATAGACTTATGTGCATGTATTTTATTAAGGGGTACATAGTATAAACGCCGCATGCGACTTTCTTCTCTATCAGAAGCGTTGAAATACGATGTTTTTAACAAATTAAATTCGTATGTGTTCACATACGTTGTTTTAAATTAAACAACAATTAAACATTATTTGCATCACAATATATTAAAAAATTGTAAAATATCCTGTAAAAACATCCAAAATATCATGTATACGATGCAGTGCCTGATTTACCTAGAGGCTGGTGTAGGCTGCAGCCTACAGGCCCCCACCAACTAGGAGCCCCCACCATATTAACAAAAAATTTTTTATGAAAACTAATTTTTTTTTAAGATTTTTTTAATACCCTATCATGAACCAGAAAGAAAAATTATTCTGAAAAATATAATTTTTTATTAAAATTTGAATAGGCCCCCACCAATTTTCAGCCTACAGGCCCCCACCACTGTAAATCTGGCATTGATACGATGTACATGTTCTGGTTCTTCTATTAATTTCTGTTGAAAATGTAGCACGCATACATGCGCCGTATATGCATTTTTATCTAGCAAAATCTTAAATTTATTAAGACAAAACAATAGTGACCCTGTTTTTATTGAAATTGCAATGTTTTCTAACATTCTTGACATACATTAAAAAATATTTGTTTTTCATTTGCGTTGATTCTATATTTTTTGTATAAAAATAATACATGAATCTATTTACTAATTTTATTAAGTGATCTACGCAGTACATGTACATTCACTCGGCTACACGGTACACGGGTAGCAGTGTTCTAGAAACTAGACAGAAGACACATACAGAAGAGAAGAACTAGTCATCATGACAAATTCGGCTCAATTGAGCCGGTTCCGAGAAACCGAAACCGATGAACCGGGTCAACAAAATGAACCAGATTTCTCATCTCTAATTTTGTCAGTGGTTATTATTTTCTTAAAAGTTCATGGTCTGTGTATCTGTTGAACTACTCGATAATGTAGAGAACTGTAATATCTGTTATGTCATGTCAATTTAACTGACGTGTGTGTCATGACGTGTAAATAATAACCTCTTCGATTAATACGAAAACACATCATTTATTTAAAATAAATTATTTAAAAAATTGGAAAATATAAGTAATAATTATGGTTTTAATGACAATGATTGCCCGAGTGGCAGATGGCCTTCCACTTGCGGCAAGTATGCAAGAAGATGAACAGGTTTGTTACTTTTACAAATTGTTCTAATACTTATTCATAACTCATAACATTTTCAGTCGGGAAGAAGTATTTTGGACTATCAAAACCAAGCAAAAATGTTATTTAGAAAATTAGGACCCCAATCTCCCCCTAGATGTACAATAGAAACTGGACCATATTTATTTCAGTATGTTAATTTCATTCGTTTGATTTCCCATGTTTTATAATAAAATTATTATTGCAGTTATTTAATAGAATATGAAGTATGCTATTTAGTATTATGTGAAAAAGCTTACTCAAAAAGACTAGCTTATTCCTATTTAGAAGATATAGCTCAAGAATTTCATGCACAATATGGTAAACGAGTAAATACAGTTACGAGACCTTATACCTTCATAGAGTTTGATACATACATTCAAAAAGCAAAGAAATCATTTACGGATTCAAGATCAAGAAGGAACTTAAATACAATCAATAATCAGTTACACGACGTCCAAAGGATCATGGTACAAAATATCGATGATGTTTTGCAAAGAGGGACCGTTTTATCAGGTAAGATACTCAGTTATATAAGTTATTACAAAACTGTAGACGATGTAAAATAAATTTCAATTATTCTTATTATTAAATTTATTTTTGTAAACTTCTTGAACTTGACATATTTTATACTTCTATTTATTTTATCATTAAAAGTTATCAGTACCTTATATCATAAAAGTCTTATTATGTGGATGCAGTCGTAAATAGATTGCTTTAAGAATGTGAAAACATTGTGTGATAAAAGGACATTGAAAAAATGTAAACATAGCGCATTCAGTAATTTATTAGGTACGAAAAAAGATTGTTTTTATCGTAATACTTTTTTTCAGAATTGGATACCAAGACACAGAATCTCTCCATGTTAACAGAAAAATACAAGAAAGATGCAACATATTTAAACACAAAATCAATGTATGTTAAAGCAGCAATAGGAGGTATAGTTGTCTTTGTGTTTTTCTTGTACTTCTGGGTACTTTAATCGCTGGCCGCAGAAAAATTTTAATTTACAAGTGGCGGAAAATTATTCAAAATGATTTTTATCACAGCTATTTAAGGTGTAAGTTAAAATAGCCTTGTGATAGGATGTAAGTTGTGGTTTATATGCTTAGTGGTACCAATCTTCACATTTAAAATTATTGTATATTGTTGTAATAAATAACACTTATGGTTATATTTTTAACTTGCGTTTTACTTTTTTACTCTAATTTGTAGTAATATATACATATACAGTTACGGAGTATAACTTGGTGGGGATTATTAAGAAAGTTTACTTACTGCATATTTTTTATTTATATTTTATTTAGAAAAAAAGAAATATTAAAAAAAATCAAAATTAAATATTCGCATTTCCTTAATTACACCCATGAAATAAATTTTATCACAAATATCAAGAAAACAATTATCCAATTTCTTTCACAGGTACTTTAATATCCTTTATCTTAATTGAGAGACAATTCTTCATCAGAATACTCAGAAACAAAGAGTAAATTTTTGAGAGACCTGTACAAACTTTCATCATTCTCAGCATTATTCACAATACTTGTAACAACTTCGTTTCCTGATTTAATGCGACCATCTAACGAGTCATCCTCATCATCTACAATTAAGTTTATCAATTTGAAGAACAGCCGATTTAAATAGTGATAATAACTCACCCGAGTCTATAACGTTATAACCACAAAGATGATCCTTTAAAACAACATATATAGTCGGATATTCTATAATTAATTTCTTTTCTAAACATTCCCTTAAAGTTAAAGTAGGATCTAACTCATAAAACTTCTTTCCTTTTGTCTGTTCCGCTTTCATTAATACTCTTATTCCAGGGATATCCGCAGCCTGATAATACTGTAACTTTTCCTGTAAGCAGTTATCGCTTTGCTTGGATAAATGTTTACTTAGAACAGAACTGACTGGTGCAATTTCAGGTACATTTTTATCAGTTAACTTCAAATTATCTGCACTAACAAATACCCAATCTATTTGCCAATGAATAATATTAGTTTTATAGTTTAAATAAGTAGAATTAGCTCTACGTCTTGCAAATTTATATGGTAAATATTTCAATGTAATCCTCTTCGACTTAGCAGCATTTCTCAGTTTCATTAAGGGCTGCAATGTTTCTTTTTTAGTCGAGAAAATATTAAACAGTATATACGTCTTACCCCAGATATGTGTGTCCATCTTTTTCCAAATTTCTTTCTTGACGCCTCTACGCTCCTAGTTATTTCTTCCAACAATCTATAATCACTAGAGAGATCTAAATTTGTGAACTTGTTTAATGGGATAAATTTAGTCCGATCTCGTTGACCGTCACATTCAATCTCCAGCTTATGTATTTTGTTGCATTTTAGAGAGCAAGTTTTGACTTCACATCTTGGGCAAGTATATTTAGCATCGTGGAAAGCACAAACTTCGCATACACCTAACCTAGAAAAAGTAAAGTAATAAGTAGCATCAATAATTCGTAGATTAATTTACTTGGAAGAGGTCCCTGCTGAACTAGTACTTGGTTCAACTTTTATATCCATGGGTTTTGTATCAACTTCCATTTCTTAATATTAATCCTTATAAAATCTAGATATTTGATTTATACAATTCAAAAACAAAAAGCACGTGTAAAATTTCATATTGCCAACACATAAAATTTAAAAATTAAATTTAGTGCTGCCAACAGCATTTACGTATGTATCGATGGTTGAAATGAAAATATACGTTTATTTGTCTCATTTGCCTCCACCGAATCCCTAAATAATAAATTTAAATCGTTTAATTTTTCCTTTTACAAAACTCAGTAAAGATAGATAGTACAGATAAAACAAATTTATATTGTTTACTTTTTGCTTTTACTTATTAATTTTTATAATATTCGTAGAAATATTTAATAAATTTGAAAAAAATGAAACGCTGAAATGTACTCCTTCAAATTTTCTTCGGTAAGGAAGGTCAATATCCTTCTACTCTACTTAACCCCTGTATTAGTAATAGTTTCTTTGACTGCATGTATAAGGCGCCTTATTTGGTTTTATTGCTTAAGTAATTAAGGCGTACCCGTGAATTACCCTTGTGTAATTAACGAGACCAATTCTGATTGGCTATGTTTAAATGACAAATTTTTTATCATTTTATTTTGTGATTTTGTTGAAGTACGGGAGTGGTGGTTGCTGCATTATCTTATCGTTATTCACAATGAGATAACAATTGTAGAGATAAGTTTATTAATTTTATCCCATGATAGCAGAAGCATATCTCACTACAAAAATATGATCGTTTAGTTCTTTTTGATTCACTCCATTTGATTTTCCGGATTTCCTGTGAAGGTCAACATTCCGAGTGAAGGTAGGTATTCACTTTAACAAAAGAATTGGTAATTCGGTAATTGTAGTACCACAAGTACCAAGACCAAGAACGAAAACTTCTGTGGCGTAATAAATCTGACTAATAGTTTATTAATAGTAAATTGAAACGTTCTTGCTAAAATTATCATGACAGGTACTGCATTTTAAATGCAACAGAATAAATTGATTCATTTATACTTTTTTTTAAGAGACAGATAAGACTGATTACAATGTTAAAATCGTCTGTCCAGCATAAGATACTTAATTCTTTGCCTGATGATAGACCTATCACAGCTATACAAGTAAGTGTTTATAGTTATTAATGCCAGGAAATTATATTTAAATTAAGTTATTTTCAGATTATAGAAAACTTGGACAAGTGTCCAGCTGGCTTTTACCCCATCTGTAAAACATACGATCAAGATTCTGATGCTGATTTAAGAGAAAGCTCAATATTCAAAAGCAGTGGCGCTAGATACTTGTGTCTATCAAAAACCGAAGGTAAGCAGAAGACTTGTAATTATCGACAATAAATATAATCTTCCTGTTTTAGGACTGCCAAATTTTGTAGTGCAGGAAATTTTAGTATTAACAGATAAAGCTAATCCCCCGAAAGGTTTTAGTTTATTGAACCGAACTGCCGATAGTGAACAAAAGGCGTGGAGGAAAAAACTATTTTGTTACCGTTTAGTGAATAAGAGAGAAATAAGGACAGCAGTGACCGATATCATAATTTGTAGTCGTCTAAAGAAAGCTCCAGCAGGATTTTCATTTGCGGGGTAAGTCATATATTGTAATATAGCCCTTCCAGTAATGAGTTCTGATATAATCGTAAAATTTGCTTTTTTATGAAATATCTGTCTCACACAAATTTGTGTAATATTGTTGAAAATTAAAGAACTTGTGTTGGCAAAAAAAATAAGAACAAAATATTTGGTTACTGTATTGAGAGGAGAACATGTTTTAATAAATATAAATCATTATGTACCAAAACTACCAAATAAATTACAAATTTAAGATAAATTCCTGTAATACCTTGAATATTTTTGATATGACGAATAATTTAAATAGTTAAGAATTTTTACTTATATCCATTATTTATTGAAAGTGTACTGATAAAATCATGATTATTGTAATCAAAATAAAAAGTAGCAGTGTAATCTGTAGTTCAAAGTACAACCTAGTAATAAGGATAAATAAATCCACTCACAAATTTAAATGTTTATTTACACATAGTAAATATATTGAAGTTTACACATTGTGTTGTGTAAATATTGTTCTGATAGTAGAAATCTATCACCTGGTAGGTATTACAAAATTTTAGTAAACTTAAAACATGAGGATATAAAATATAAACTATTATAAAACTTAACCTCACTGTTCTTAAATTGTATACTTGAGTATATTATTAATCGGTCATGGTAGATTATAACAGTATTATCTGTTGCATGTTCAGTAAATGATAATGGCTATTTCTTTTCAAACAAACTTTTTTTCAGATTAGTGCTAATGCAAATAAATAAAATTTTTATAAGTTAAACCTACAATTTGTTAAAAATCCTTTTGATGCCAATATTATGAGAATGATCACGCGCCATTATTCCATGGCTAGAAATTGGCCTCAATGATTTGGGATCGAGGGGGATTATCCCTCTTTATCCTGCCTCATCTCGTGTAGGCCTGGACAGCCTTCGTAGGTGGGCCCCATCCGTCGTCTACCCCGACCGCAAATGCGACCGGTGTAGGCGCTTTGTGGGACCTCCTTTTGTCCTGGCTGGGCCCCGCCGGCTAGGGCCCTTTCTTCTGGCGCTCTTCTTGCTTCGCCGGCTCGTCTGTGTAAACCCCGGGGGTAGTGTCATGTTTATGTGTGGTATGGTTGGGTAGGGTAGTGCGGCTATGCAGCCTGGGATGCGCTTTGCTAAGGTGGCCCTTAGGCTAGCGCGGGAGGGGAGGGTTAAGGAGGGTATGGGGGGTGTGTGTGTGTGTGTGTGTGTGTGTCGTTGTCTTCGTTTCTTGATCCTGGCTGTCTCTGAAACAGAAAAGGTTAGCGGGCAGGGGGGGGGTCATTGGGGTGGTCACCCAGGGTCAAAAAGTTGGTGTCTAGGTCTTTTGTGTTTGTCGGTCACGTCGGGTACGTAGTCAACGGCTTGCCTGAGGAGGGGATTGTCATGTCTAGCGGCTACGTCAAATCGTTTCTCCGCGTTTTGTCTTATTGTCTGTGTAGCGTTTGTGTATTGTAAGTCTCGTAATATGTCAGTGTTTCTTACGTACCAGGGCGCGTCGGTGGCCGTGCGGAGGGCTATGTTTTCCACAGCCTGTAATGACTTTAAGTGGCTTTTTGCCGCGTGACCCCACGCCGTGGAGGCGTAGGTTAGCTGCGGTTGAAGTACCACCTTGATAAGCGTTCGCTTATTCCTTAAACTGAGGGTGTTTCCACCTTTGAGTAAGGGATAGAGCCTAGCCCTGGTGGTCTTCGCTCGCGCCACCGTCTCCACGATGTCCGGTTTCCACGTGAGACGCTGGTCCATCGTCACGCCCAGGTATCGTGTTTGTCGATTCCAGGAGATGGGTTCCTGGGATAGTGTCGGTCTGTCAAGGTTTTGTGGAATTTTTCGTTTGGTAAAAAGGATAGCCGAACTGTTGCACCAGGTTTCAAGTTGCTCTAACGAGTTTTGGTAGATTATAACAGTATTTGTTGCATGTTCAGTAAATGATAATGGCTATTTCTGATCTACGGATTGGGATGTGATTGTCAGGTCGTCGGCGTATAAGTATATGTTGGTGTTGGGGGGATGTGGGANGAAAGATAAATTAATGATATTATCTTAATACTTTAATGAAACACATAATCTATATGACTAATAAGGAAAGCACCTTACTTTATCATAAGAATTTTCAAATATTGTTTAATTTTCACCTTATTAGTTTTTACAAATAAACAAAAAAGATTGTATGAACATATCTCCTAAATAGATTACAGGTTAAATATGATGAAACTTACGCTAGGGATTTGAATAAGTAAATGCACAAATTAACTGTATTTGTATGTAGTTGAATAAATTGTCAGTAACTCTAAAACCGAGTCAAAAACTAATTGTTTCACAGAAAGGAATTTTATTTTTTTTTATGAATACCATCAAACATATATTTGAAAAATACATACAGTGCTATCCAAAAAGTGTGCACCACATGGGAAAAAACTTTATGCATGTCGTTAAAGCAAAATAGCGCCTATCGAACTTCATAGAACATTTGTTGTATATGAGGGGCAGACGAAAAATGCAAATAGTCCCAAGAGTAAAGTACTCTTATTATCGACCCTAGGGGAAAATGTTATAATGAAAAGTTATTTCTCTCTAAAAGATTAGCCCGAGTACAAAGTTTCAGTTCATTATGTTGAAAAAGCGATTCCTGACAATTTTGCAACTTTCCCTCGTACGTTCGAGCAAAAACATCCATTACTAAAGTCGAGTTTTTTTAGTACGCTTCTACCAGAAAAACATAATTCTTGAAAACAAGTTGAATCAGGAACTAATAAAGGCCGTAATAAAAATGGTGTAGAAAATAACAAATTTGGTGCAAGCTTTATTTTATGTTCAAGAATAATATGAAAAACTAAGTAAAATGGTAAACCTCATATAGACCACTTCAGTTACAATTCATTCGTTCGAAAAATATTAACCCTACTATAAGGTGGAAACAATTTTTATTTTACAAAATAATGCAAAAAAACAAATAAGAAATACAAAAAGAAAACTGACATCATTAACAATCAACTTTTTATATCATTCACTAATTATTTGTCAAAATTATTAGAATGTAAAAAATGTACAAGCACCAGAAGATTAAAGAATGGCATTTTAGTACCTCTTATATCAACAATGCGATACCGATAGCAATAGATAAAGACAATTTATCACTCCAGTAAATTATGTATTGAATATTATTGTATCTCTTTGTCGCACATACTGTAACTACAATTTAAGTTATTGTTAGATAAATTTAACAGGACCAAAATTTGGAATGCTCTACACAAATATAAGACCTTAATTAATTAACAATAAACTTCTATTAAACATATTGTCTGTAATTATGCTTTTTTTTATTTCCATTCTCAAAACTTTTAATCATTGCAATGTTACCACAAGTCTGGGCATCTGTTAAGGTGTTTAATTAAAAATTTTGAAAATAAGGACAAATGGTTTTCAGACAATACCTTGCAATGTGTTTGTAATTATTCTAAATTTTCCAAATATAAAAATAATGTTGTTTTTGTTGATCTGAAAGATTTTTTAGCAAAATAAATAATCAAAAATTGATTTTTTATCCGTTTTGAACTAACTACTGCAGGACTTCAACCATATACTGGGTGTTTTTAAATGAAGTAGCAAAAATTGTACCAGTGAATGTAGAGCCAAAAATAAGAGGATTGAAGTAAAAATACCTTGTATGAAAGTTGCACCCCTGAGGCGATATACCCTCTTAAAAGAGGGGATTGAAATTCTCATTTTAAGGTTTTTCTTTAACATGGGGAATGCTAGAGACACGAAACTTGGTATTAGCATCCTATTAATAAAGAGAACTTTTCAATATTTTTTCGATCATTTGTGTATTTTATAAAGGAGTGAAACAGTCAACCCCATTGCAATATTTTATTAAAAATTTTTATATGAAGCAAATTATTTATTTTAAAATATTTATTGGGAAGACTGATTTATTGCGCAACTTTTTTACCATTTGTAATTTTTGATAAAACCGATAGTTTTCTAGTAACAAAATTAGACGCGTCATCGGTCACTAAAGGGGTAATTGCGAAAATTTGTAAAAACAGTAGGCGGATGTCATAACAAATAAATTGTTATTTATCATATTAATAAATTGACACTTTCTGTCAATAAGCTGGTAATTTAATAATAACATTAAGAATAATTTGTTATTAATTAATGAAAAATTTTTGATAACTTTTGACTATGGGACATGTATTAGGTAAAGTTATTTATCTGAAATAAAAGTTAATACAAACGAAAAACAAGAAATGCAAAATTAAATTTAAAGAATATTCTCGAAATAATTTCCATTTTGCTGCAAGAATAACCTAATACGTCTGTGGAAGTTATAACGCACTCGCACAAACAGTTCTTGGTTATTGCGAAGGTCATCTGCTGCCTGAAATATTCTTAAGCGTAGTTCTTCTGAGGAGGCAACAGGAGTGGCATAAACAATACTTTTACGTGTCTCCACAAAAGAAATCCATAGGCATTAGGTCAGGTGAACGTGCAGGTCAACAAACGGGGGCATCAGAACCACGACCAATCCAGTGATTCGGGTAATTTAAATTTAACCATTCTCTAACGGCAAGTGTACTATGTGCAGGCGCCCCGTCGTGCATTTACCACATCACCTGACGTGTAGCGAAGGGTACATCCTCAAGTAATGTTGGAAGATTTTCGTTCAAAAATCTCTCGGCGGCTCCAAGCTTGTGTGGAAGAATAAAAGGACCTACTAGAGTATTTCCAAACGTTTAACCAAACCATCCAAACGTTTAAACTGAAATTATGTTGACATCTTGAAACAAATATTTCATGAGTATTTTCTTCCGACCATGAATGAACATTATGAAGGTTTAGTGCACCTACTCTAGGAAAATTTGCTTCATCGGTGAAAAGTATATTCATTAGGAAATTTAAGTCATGCCTGGAAATATTAATGTACCATTGACAAAAATCCACATGGTTAGGTTAATCAGGGTCATTCAATTCTTGCACGGGTTGATGGTGAAAAGGGTATAAAAGATTTTCATGAGCTACATTCCACACAAGACTGTGAGAAACTTGCAGTTGCCTGGACACCTGGCTTGCGCTTGTATCACAGTCTTGTTCTAGATGTTCCAGTATAGCTTCCTCAGTTTCAACAGTTCGGACATTACGCCTTCTTCCGGCACCCTCACGATTGTGCTGAATTTTACCAGTTTTGCAAAGCCTTCTTTCCACCACTGAAGCCAATGTTTGTCTATGAGGAATCGGTCAGTTTGGATATCTTAGGTGGTATAATCTTATTGCAGGGTTACTATTTTTTCTGGATTCGAAAAACACTTGGAGCATGTCGACATATTCGTCATTGGTATAAATATTATTTGCCATAATTATTCTGATAATAAATTAATCAATTGGTACTAATTTATTGATTGACAGAAAGTGTCAATTTATTAATATGATAAATCACAATTTATTTGTTATGATATCCGCCTACTTTATTTTTACAAATGTTCGCAATTACCCCTTTAGTGAACGATGACGCATCAAATTTTTTTACTAGAAAATTATCGGTTTTATCGAAAAATTACAAAAGGTAAAAAAGTTGCGCAATAAATCAGTATTTCCAATAAATATTTTTAAATAAATAATTTGTTTCATATAAAAAATTTCTAATAAAATATTGCGATGGGGTTGACTATTTCACTCCTTTATAAAATACGCCAATGATCGAACAAATATTGAAAAGTTGTCTCTTTATTAGTAGGATGCTCATACCAAGTTTCGTGTCTCTAGTATTCCTCATGTTAAAGAAAAACCTTAAAATGTGAATTTCAATCCCCTCGTTTAAGAGGGTATATCGCCTCAGGGGTGCAACTTTCATATAAGGTATTTTTACTTCAATCCTCTTATTTTTGGCTCTACATTCACTGGTACCATTTTTGCTACTTCATTTAAAAACACCCTGTATATTCCTATTTTCAGTCAATCCTCATACTGCATAATTTTAATTGAAAACAATCATTCTTATTAGTTTTCTTATATTTACAACGGTATTAAACTATGCCAAATAAATTCAAAGCAATTTTTTCTTAAAAAATCCGATCAAATGTATTCAAACAAATTTTTTGAATTTATTTGCAATAGTTGATTTTTCAAGTATATACATTTCAGGGAACTGAACGGAGTTACTCTTTGCTACAAGATGGGCAACGTTCAGGACGGTGGTGATGCAAATGCAGACTCGAACAAACGTGACGGAAACTCATTCCCTTCTCCCCCAGTTAGGCCGCCAAAACCATCACCCATGTCCCCAGGCAACCCCGTATATCCCTCGTTAGGAGAATCCGACCACGATTACGAAATTCTTAGGCCTGGCTATCCCGCCTCTGGACCCACGAGGCCCGCTCCCAAGCCCCCAACACCAGCAGTGCCTCATCAACACTCGACTCATACTCTTGGTATACCTCATGCTCTGGATGGTGTACCGTTCATCGTGAATCCCAAGTTCTTGACTTCTAAGACGGCTGACAAGGTAAATACGTACTAAAATACGAGATACAACTTTTAAGAAAGCGTTTTTGTTTTAGTTTCAGTTCCCCAAAATAAAAGCAAGAGCGATGCAACAAATACTCAGAGATTACGACTACCCATTCACAGTGGAGAGACAAACTTAAATTTAAGCTGACGATTGCTGCACTTTTTTAACCTTCCAAGAACTGCTGTGGGATTGTTTTTATTCTTCTTGATTTAACCTTCGTTCCTGTCTTTTCGTCCACGATCTTTTAGTTATGGATTGTAACGTAATGTTAGAACCTTTTAATTAAGTTTAGTCGTGATTGTGTAAAATTTTGATGTTATATTACTAATTATTTTAATATGAATTTCAGTAATTTGAAATTGTACGTGTGATAGCGACCATTTACATACACATTTTAAAGCACTGAGGAAATATATCTAATGTAGTTAATATATTTATAGAGATTATTCGATTATCATTATCATACTGTTAGTTAGTGCCAATATTTTATACTATAAGTTTTTGTAAATATACTGTAATGAGTTACATATTGCGTTTTGTTCTAAAACCTATTTTTTTTTTTAAATCGAGACAGAAAAAATCAATATGTTCATAAATTACTTAAAATACGCACATGATAAGTAAATAGAAATCGAACTGATATCTTTTATTGAATGAAACTGAAAATTCAAAATAGGAATTCCCCAAAATTAACGCCTAAAAAAATTTTGCATATTTACATTTTGAGGAAATTATAGGTTCCAAATATCCCATAGAATCAATGTAAAATAAAAATTATTTGTTTTTTCTTTACTGTGCTAATGGAATATACACCAATAAAGCGGGACAACTTGTATATGTAAGAAAATCATCCTTAAATAAAGCTATTTTTAATTGAACAAAAAGTTGTCCCTCTTGCTTGAATCACGAAAGAGTCGAGGTATATTCCATCTGGTCTAAATATCTATGGTAAATCCAATGGAAAACGCTATTAGTAACAAATGTAGATCAAATGTAGCGTATGACCGCTTAATGATAGTTCTAATGAATCAAAACATACAACGAGGTTATGTTGACGAAAAAAGATATTCATTGTAACCTCCTGTGTTGATGCATGGTCTTTTTATGGCATGGCCAAAAATTCGCCGGTTAATGGCTCCATAAATTTTATTAAACAATGTATATTATTCATATTTATTTAATTCAGATTTGTTTAATATTTATTTTTTTAGGGCAACCATATTTTTTGGATTTCGCTGCAAAGCTAAACTTGTACACACCAGTCTTTTTAGAAATTATGTAACAATTGCTAAAAGAGAATTAGAAGTACCAACATTTTGTGATGTGCATATAAATTTGCCATATAATTTAGTGGTGAAACCCCTAAATATTCACAAATATCACAATCTCGATAAGCTGATAATTCAAGTTCATCCAAGCATAGAACAGAATGTAGAGCATGATATTGATGGAAATCAAGTAAAAATATTTAACAATAAGGAAGTAAGTCACGATATTCCAAATGATATATTTTGCAGTGTTAAAGCACCAGTTAAAGCCAGTAAGTATTTAAAATTGCTAGCCAACCTGTTAAAACTGAAAATATTTTCTTTCAGATGTCTATGTTAACTCAGAAAAAGATATTAGCATTGGCTATTTTCATGGTGACAAATTGCATCTAAACACTAATGAAGGCAATATATTTATTGATAAGTTTCAAGGAACGTCTGTAAATTTGAAAACTAACAACGGCAACATACGTCTCAAGGAATTTATACAAGCTTCGACGATAACTGCGGAAATACTTAATAGTGGTGTAAGTACACAATATTCTTTCGGCATTGTGTTTGTGTTAATTCTGATATTGTAGTCCATAAGCAGTGGAAGACTCCAGGGTTTAGACCTCAAACTTAAAACTAATAAAGGAAATATTTCCGTCGAATCTGCATATTCTTATAAAAGTTTGTTCGAAGTTGGAAACGGTAATCTTGATCTTCACAATATTCATAAGACGTGTACAATTTTGCTTAAGAAGGGGTATATGTACTTGGGTAGATATAAAGAAACCATATTTTCTATTCTTAATAAATTGATTATTTCAGCTGGTTTCGATGGTGGTCTCGACGCACTTATAGAAAATGGTCACGCTGATATCCAATTAGCCAGAGTGACTAAAGACTCGGAAATAAACCTCCAGAATGGTGCTCTAAACCTTAAACTAGCCGATGCTTGCCAAGATTACGTCCAATTCAAGATTCAGGCTAAAGACTGTGATGTAGCTGAAAATATCAAATCAACGATAAACAGACTTGGAGATGTCATAATTTTGACACCGGATATTAATGAAGATAATACGGTTTCCGTCAGTTGTGTCAATGGTGCAGTAAACGTTGAAAGCGCTTCCTGGCAAGATATGATTAAGCTTAAATTGAAGAAATAATTTATTTGTAACGTTCTTCCAAATTTAATATTATATTATTTTTAATTATGAATTTGCTGAACATCTCATTTATTTATAAGTAGTATAGTTTATTGAATTTACAAGTATAGGTCTTGTATTTTATGTGAAATAAGACTGTCGAACGGGTTTACCAACTATAAGGATCTTAATGGAGAATTAAACTGATGTATATTATACATACAATTTTTTTTATGTAGCTGTAGCTTTTACTTTATTATATTACAGCCATTTAAAAAAACAGTTTACAGTTCGTAGTTATGTGTATAAATTTTAGCCCAGTGGCTAATTTATGGCCAAGAGACTTAAAATTGCCAAATCAAAATAAAATTAAAAACCATTTCGGTTCAAAAACTGATGTTTCAGGTTCGTTCGTTTTTGTGAATGTTTAATATTAATATTTATTCTGATACTTTTAAAAATACGTTGAAAAAAGATTAATAATAAATACAGTGTCAGGCTTTCACACGTACTTCCAATTTTCTTTTGAAGACAGTTCAAATAAAATTTGCTGTACTGTTATTTTTAACAGTTTTACTTACTTTCTGTTTATTGAAAATTTTGCCACCTGTGAAAAAATTAAAAGAAAAAGAATGTCGGGTTATTTTATTTAAACAATTTTGCCTTCCAAAAATCTCACACTGAAAAAACAGACAAATACAATTCTCACAAAATTTTTGGGAAACGTAACGGGAGTGAGAAATAATCTCAAGTCTATTTGAAACTTTTATTAATAACCATATTAGTCAAAACTCTAATAACTTTGAACACATACTTACCTGTATAAAAGTAACAGAGTTTACTTACTTACTTACTTTTAGAGAAAGATGATAGAAAAACTATAAAAATACACAGGACTGTAAACAGGAAGATTTACTGGAAAATTGAATAAAAAAATTATTTATTTTAAATCAATAAAAATTCTCAAGAAACGGCCCACGAGACAAACTCGAAATGAATTCAATGCACCCTATCTGCTATAGTCTGTTCAGAGGAACAGAGGATTCCTCTGAAATAAATTTTATCTACATCAGAAACGCGATGACTGAATACCCGTGTATGTGAGCAGAAGTCAGAAATCTGAATCACAGATACAGCTCACCAACATGGGCTCGATCAAGAATCACAAAAAAAACCGGACCTTAGGTATTACCAGTGTGAGATTTTTGGTTAGACAAATATAGTTTAAAGGGGCGCTATCGCAAATAGGCAACCAGCAATACATTTTTATAGATTTTATTACACAGTTTGTCTAAATATGAATGAATGCACAAATAATAGGCTCTCCCAAACATATTGAAGTTAGTCCGGCTCTGGTTCGGCAAAAAATACCTTAGAACGACAACTGTGACTATCGTCCTCTTTTCGACAGTATCCAAACTATAGAAATGTTGAAATACGAAGGATTTCTTCAATTGTTCGGCATGAAAAGATGACGGATAATATAAAATATCAGAACATGTACCTTTCCTGTTTTATCCAATTGATTTATAAAACTACTCAATAATTCTTATTAATTCATGTATAAATAGTATCCCAAAAGCATTCTGCTGGGTGTGGGTATGTTTATAATACCGTATGCGTTTATCTGTATGTTCAACAGTCGTGTAAAGTTCAGGAAACGTAAGATAACAAAATTTCCTTCTTTTTCCTTGCTTAAAAAAAATGTGTTGCCAGTTGTCTCGCACCCTGAAAACTTGTATGAGTAGTACAGTGAAGAGATATCGTTTCTAACTTGCTTAGATTTTTTAAACAATTGAACAAAAAATTCATTGAAAATTGCGCATAAAAACCCCCCCTAACGCAGATTTTCTATACTTCATTTGAAAGTTTGCTGCTTGTTCAAAAGCGGCAAATTACTAATTTCTTTACAACAAAAAGTAATTTAAGTTTCAAACTAACTCCATTTTATAGAAAATCTGTGTTAAAATGGGGGAAAATCTGATATTTGTGCATTTATTCTTATTTAGACAAACTGTGTAATAAAATCTATAAAAATGTATTGCTAGTTGCCTATTTGCTATAGAGCCCTTAATAAAAATAACCTTCGACTGATCCATTTGGCTAAAGGTTTATTTAAATTATTTTTTTTATTCATCACGTGGCAAAATATCTGATAAACAGGAAAAAAAAATCTATATTTTCCATAAGCCCCTAAATCATTATCTACGTTTGTTTCTTTAGCAAAAATAGATAATGTCGGTACAAAATTTCGCATAGTTGTGTTCCTCTTTTAGGCCAGGAAAAAGAGCTAGGAAATGACAACTTCGCGACTTTTTGTTTCGGCAAGCTGAATTTATCACTATAGATGCTAAATATTATGTACAATAACGTATTAGTTTCCACAGTCATAAAAATGGGGGGAAGATTGTTTACAGGCTGGTTAATTGTATAATTTTTACTTAAATGCACGTTTTTCACTTATAACTTTTTTCCGTTTATTTCCACGAGAAAACGGTAATGGACTTTTTTTTCATCTTTGAAAGACCCACAAAATTAGCCCTCGAGCATCAAAAAATATTGATTAGATCAAAAGTTATAAACAGAAGAAGTTTATTTATGACTTTTGAATTAAACATTTATAAACTGGGTTATTATTACCAGAACGTTTTGGAATCGTATCCCCTCATTCCTTATCACTGTCTAATAACTCACACGAAATCTGGAATCGGTAAGTTGAATAGTTTACAAGTTATGGCCTTATAAACAATATTAACTAATTATTAGTCTGGACGATCCCGAGCATCTTCCGCAATCGCACTGATTTTTTTCATGGTAGATTTCATAATACATTGAAATCTATCAATTTTTTTTTTAAATTTCAAATTTGCAACCTGGAATTTTTTTTATTTTTTAGCCTTAGTTGCAAAATGAAATATACGACGCACCCGCGTGATATAGTTATATATTATATTCGGAAAGCTTATGAAAAGAGTTTTAAGTTAAAAAAAAAATTGTCAAGATTCGTTGAAAAACAACGGGAGTTACATACTGTCAAAGTTGACGGCCTATTATTAAACAAATTAGGTTGGTAGCGGCAAAAAAAAAATACTGTCATAACCGGCAACCCGAGTACTTTACCAAATAAAAATATTTTATTTGTGGAAGTATGTTAAGTGCATAACAAATATTGTCAAGTCAGTGGGTCGCTTGATTTTTTGGCGAGCCGTGCCACGGCGGAAAGGTGGGGGAAGCGAACGACAGCAAGTCCGAAGAAAATGGTGATAATATTCATAGTCCTGCCGTTAAAAAAACGAAATTTGCTTGAAAATAATATATGTATTTGACAGTCTGTAACTCCGTTGTTTTTCAACGAATCTTGACGATTTTTCTTAAAGCTCTTTTCATAAGCTTTCCGAATATGTAATAATATATAACTATATAACTATATCGTATATTCCATTTTGCAATTAAGGCTAAAAAATAATAAACTTTCCAGGTTGTAAATTTGAAATTAAAAAAAAATGATTGATAGATTTCTATGTATTATTACGAAATCTACCATGAAAAAAATCAGTGCGATTGTGGAAGATGCTCGGGATCGTCCAGACTACTAATTAGTTAATTTGTTTATTATTATTATTACAAAATAGGTTAGGGGAGAGGACTTACGTCCTATTATACCCAAAATTAACAAAATATGTACAGCACAATAGGTATAATCAACATATTAAAGAATTAACTTAAAACTAATCTCAATTACAAAAGGTGAGCATTCAGTCTACTTTTAAATGAATTAAGCGACGGTGCACCAATTATTGAAGCCGGTAAATTGTTCCAAGTTGTAAAAATTCTGTTGGACAGGAAATATTGCCTAGCTCTAGATTTAAAGTTTTCTTTTTTTAACTTTAATTCATGACCACAGAGGCGAGCATCAGAATTTAACGAGTAGATTGAAGACAAGTTGCCGAAATTAAATTTAAGAATTTTAAGTCATAATTAAATCACCTCGAAGGCGACGCTGCTAGAAGTCTGTGAGGTGGGCCATCGAAAGTCGCTCCACATAGGCCATAACTTGTAAACTATTTAACTGACCGAGTCCAGATTTCGTGCGAGTTATTAGACAGTGATAAGGAATGAGAGGATGCGATGCCAAAATGTTCTGGTAATAATAACGCAGTTTATAAATGTTTAATTCAAAAGTCATAAATAAACTTCTTGTTTATAACTTTTGATCTAATCAATATTTTTTTACGTTCGAGGGCTAATTTTGTAGGTCTTTTGAAGACAAAAAAAAAAAGTACATTACTGTTTTCTCGTGGAAATGAACGGAAAAAAGTTATAAGCGAAAAACGTGAATTTATGTAAAAATTATACAATTAACCATCCTGTAAACAATCTTCCCCCCATTTTTATAACTGTGGAAATTAATATATTATTGTACATAATATTTAGAATCTATAGTGATAAATTCAGCTTGTCGAAAGAAAAAGTCGAGTCCAATTCTATGTTTCCTGGCCTATTTTATATATTGTAAAGGAAAGTTTTCAATGTCATCTCAAAATTCAGAAATAAAACTGCAGTGATTCGTAAACAGAGGCTTGTATTATATTAAAAATAAAGTAACTATTAAAACTTTTTCTTCGATTTCTTCCCTTTACCCTTCCCTTTCTTCTGTTTCAACCTTTTCTTATCCGCGACAATCCTAGCCTTTACAATTTGGTCCGTCGTCTTTATTTCAGACCTCCTTTGTTGTAACTTAACTTTTTCGTTATGTCTCGCCCAGTGAGTGTGAGACTTACTGTGAGGAATATCTGAAATATAAATCCAGGAATTAAATACAAACCCATATTTGAAAATGCCAATGTAATACCTTTTTGAGCTGGGGTTTCTTCGTCGTCCTCTTCGTCGTGATCAATTTTGGTTTTCTCTTTCCACTGAGCGTAACGGTTACTCTTATACGTGGCAGGAATCCATGCTCCAGACTCGGTTCTTATTTTTCCTACCTTGGAATTCTAAAAAATATTTACGCATTTCGTGGGTTAAAAGTGTTAGTCTAGTTTCAGTTTCACTATAGTGTGACTTCCAGTTCCCCAAAAATCGTCCATAAAAAATAAAGAAATGCTAACTTGTCAAAACTTCTCAAAAGACAGTTGTTAATCTTAGTTATTTAGTGTTAAATGTAAGATAAAATATATTATCTAAACTTCACTCTATACGTTTGCTTCTGTATATACAAATAAAGCCGTTTATTATTATTTCCGGCAAGGATATTATAAATGTTTACATTTACATCTCCGATTGTGAAATATTGGCATAGTTTTCAAGATTCATATCTGCCAGTGTGTGCGCCTGCTTTATAATTAGTCAATAAACTGCCCATTTTTGCATGAAGTGTAATTTACTCAATCAAAATTCAATTAGTAATGAATTGAATATGTTTACTCATAAATTTCGATAATTTCTTGAACATTTTTATTCTTCGTTGTTATTTTAGTACAGAGCCTTCATAAATGATTACAAGCCATGAGACCGTCGAGATGAGGCAACCCAATATTACACGACGGGTACCGTAGACTAAAAATCCTTAAATGTTAGCGTCAACGTTAATGATTCGTTCACATTTAATGCGATTGTTGAATAAAATCCCATGAAAAATTGCACTAATCACCACCCAGTGAAACAGAGTGTTGTGTTTTTAATGTAATCCTGATCTTACTGTTTTAATAACACCACCACACAAAAAAAAAGTTGTCTGAAATGTACATGCGACATATGATTTCCGATGTATTTTGGCCCGCTGAACACGAATCCGGAGTCAGAATTGCTCCATCACCCTTCAATTTTCAGCAAAACGCTGAAAAATCTTCTGAAAAATGAAAATTTACCTTTTTTAGAAGATTCTTCAGCGTTTTGCTGAAAATTGAAGGGTGATGGAGCAATTCTGACTCCGGATTCGTGTTCAGTGGGCGAAAATACATCGGAAATCATATGTCGCATATACATTTCAGACAACTTTTTTTTTGTGTGGTGGTGTAATTTTTAATTTCACCGAAATTTAATTGTCAACGTTCCGAACAAAATTACTGGTCATGTGACTTATAATCATTTAGGAAGACTAAAAACTCATTGCCTAACCTCATTCTGTAAATACTCTTATGTACATGCCACTAGAAGGAGGACGAGTATCGTAGGCCTTCCCTGGATGGTCACCCATCCATCCAAGTACTAACCGCAATCAGTGTTACTCGACTTTTATATCGATGAAAAAATGCCAAGTCGCTAGGCTGCACTCGCCCTCAAGTTTTGTAATTTATTTTGTGTTTTATGTATGAAAGACAATAAATACAGGGTGATAGAAGTTAGACTGCCTTAATTTTAACAGATGAAAGAATACATTAAAATAAACAAAAAAATCTTATATGACATGTCCTAACTCAAATATTTCCGAGAAAAAAAATGATCAGTCTCCAACTTGATGTATAAAAGTTCGATTAATTAAGGAATATTGACAAAAGTGTGTGCATAGATTACCATAAAATACAATATTTATCATATTTTTGAACTTCTTTATGCTTAATTCTAAAAAAATAATTAGCTTTGTAATAAATTTAAAATTCGATAAAATTCATATCGAGCAATGTGCGAATGGAGCGACATGTAACACAAGGTACTAAGCTGTCCAGCAATATACAATTCAGTTGTTGTTGGTATCTGGAATTGGACCATGTTATAGTGTTTTTTGCATACCACTATTTCCTTTTCTTCAGGTGTTTTCCAGTGAGTATGCGAAAATTGGATTCGAAGGTGTCGTGCATACATCGAAAATGGTGGTGGACATTTTAGCATATGTTGTAGTTTATTTTGTACTTGTGCGTTTAAACATTACTGAATTTTGCTTTTTGACAAGTCCCTAAATTATTTTTAATACGTATGATTATTTGGACGACGTGAACCTTTGGGTACTTTAATTACATATTTTTCAAATCCATATTTTGATTAAAAGTTAAGTTGTTTTAAGAGATTCATAATAACTAAAATTCGAGCTACAATTTAAGCACAACACTATCTATTGCTGCAGTTACGGCACCCTGTATACCGATTTTTTACAAAAGTAGCATGTTATCTCTATCGAGTATTTTTGTTTGATACAATTAGGGTTCCTGGTCGAGAATTCCCGGGAAATCTAGCATTACTCGAGACGAGAAAAAAGTTTCGAGAAATCGAGAAATTTAAAAATCACGCGTGTCTTAACTTCTTGACTTGAGTTTTTGACTTGATTGTGCTTGTCTATGCCCTCCCCTCTTGCGCCGCACACCGCTGCATGTTCGTTTAGTTCGTGCGTTCAGTTCGTCTCTCGATAAATAGCTGAGCGGTTGAAATGGTTTCTCGACTAACTCGTGATTTATTTATTCTTAAGTTTTTAAGGCTAATAAGCTAGTCTACTTTGACTATTCTCATTTTTTATGTATCTAGTTAATAAACCAGGCAATAAAAAACGATTTACCCCAAAATATCTAGATTTTCACGGCCCGGTCCGATTTTAATGCGGTTTTTTGCATTTTGTTCAGAAAGACCGCCGGAAAAAAGTCCCGCCTTTTTTATTATCCGGAAGTGGCGGAAATGCATCGCGGGTGCATAAAGTGCATCTAGAAGAGCATCGCATCCGAGAAGCTTGCCAAAGTGCACGAAATACCGCAAAAATTGGTACTCGGGGGTTTTGGGGGGCGCAGAATTCGAATATGCATATATCCAGTCCACTTGACCCCCCGGGGGGCGACTTCCGGCCGCCTGGGGGGCGGGGGGCACGTGGATTGCAAGGTTCTCCGAAAAATGGATCTCGGGTGCTGATTCCGAATTCGAGGCTGAAAAATATCCCCTGTGCTCGTGAAGGGGGCGGGGGGGTGGGTTGAAATCTAAAGTTCTTGAAATGACGGGGAAATTGTATCTGGGGGTTTTTGCGGGTGCTGATTCCGAATCTGAGGGTGAAAAATATCCCCTGTGCTCGTGATTGATAATTTTCCATTAATTTATATTCATCCTTCTTAGAAGATTAACGCCTTTCCCCAAAATAATCAGAAATAGTCATCGGACGCATGTGGCAGGGTCAGATTTGGAATCAGCACCGGCAAAAACCCCCGAGATACATTTTCCCAGTCATTTCGAGAACTTCAGATTTCATACCAATTTTTGCGGTATTTCATGCACTTTGGCAAGTTTCTCGGATTCGATGCACTTTTAGATGCACTTTATGCACTCGCGATGCATTTCCACCACTTCTGGGTAATAAAAAAGGCGGAACTTTTTTCCGACGGTCTTTCTGAACAAAATGCAAAAAACCGCATTAAAATCGGACCGGGCCGCGAAAATCTAGATATTTTTCTCTTTATTGCCTGGTCTATAAAAGACTGTGTAGAAATTTTATTAGCAGATACCTAATGTTGATGTAGATTCTGAAAATATGGCAATGTAATTTTAGTACTAAAAATATTGTTTTATTTTCACACAAATGGAATCTTCTTTTTTTTTCAAAAAAACAGTAAGATTTACATGTAATAAAATTCTTAGTGATGTCAAATTTCTGGGATTCCTAATGACAGTGATTGCTGCTATCATCGCCACTGGTTAATATATTTATATCGGAATTCAATGAGTCCTTATTTAGATAAATAATTAGAATAAGTTTCATTACTTTCCATCAAACTTCTTTAGAGATATTTTAGGAAACGTGATTTTTTCCTAAATTCAATGCCCAAAATTTCTTCACACAATATTTTTTTTCTTAATTTAATTCGAATTCAAATTTAAAGTTGTAAATCCTGAAACGCCCCCAATAATACACTACACATTTTTATATTCAGTACCAACAAATTTTAAACCTATCAATCAGAAATAATCTCAAAAACTATTAAAATTCAATGACGCTACAACAAATAAATTTTTGCAATATTTTCTAGTGTACTTACAGGAAGCGCCACCATTTTCTTTTTCTTTCTGTCCCAAACCTTCAACTGCCTATGAAGTCTCAGCGCATCCTCTGAATCCCCCACCAAGTCTAACTGAGCGCTCGAGGCTTCTTTTTGGAAGTTATTCACTGCTAACCTAAATTTTTTATCAGATGCAAACAATTAAACACTAAAACATAATTTAATAGTTACCCTTCCTCCGTATGCCGATCAGTTGGCGCGTACGGAATATAGTTGTCATCCCTGAGCTTCTGCTTCTTATTGGTCCTGTACAAATCCTCTATCTTTCTCTTCTTAGGCACGACTACAGTTTTGAACGTGTCGTTAATCTCTTCACTATTGGTGCCCGGCAAATTTGATTCCTTTGTGGGAGTCAGCAGCTCTAATTCCTCCTGTTTCTTCTGTATGAGTTGCTGATGTGCACTTATTTTATCTTTATGAAATGCCCTTTTTTGTTTCATTGCCAGGTATTCTTGGGACTTATTCTTCCCACAGATTTCAAATATCGTCTAAAAATTTTATAACGTGATATAAACGTCAGACACTTACACAGCATGTTAGATGTTCGAAGTTTGAACAAGATAGATTACGTATTTATAAACAATAACAATAAATATATGGGGCGTTCCACGCCAAATCGGACAGTTCAAAAAATTTAAATTTTCGATTTCCTTAATTTTTTGTTATTTTTTAGTACCCCTCAAAAAAGCCTTTCTGGTAAATTTTGAGATTTTTTTGATTACTTGTTCAAAAGATATATAATTTTAAAAAATCGTTAATTTTTTGTTTTTTTTGATCATAACTTTCTTAATAATGGTCCAAATTAAAGCTTTTTTTATAAAAATCTTTGTTTTTAGATGGCCTTTACAGATAAAAATAAAAAAAATATATTCAGTGTTTTTGATTAAGATTTTTGAGTTTGAAATTTTAAATCGTGTTCTTGAAAGTGAGTGTATCTTTCGATTTTTGTAAAAATTTTTTATTTCAAACTACTATTCTTTTAACAACTTTTAGGACCGGTCCGGTTGTGGGCCCACCATAATTACTTTTTTCTTGATTTTTTAAAATTAAAAAAAAAAAAAATTTCTCTATAAATCATTATAAGTGCCGATTTTTGTATACTCTTTTTTAATTATTTTAAATTAATTTTAATACTTTTAAAATCAATAAGTAAACGTTAAGTCTATTTATAAACAATTACAACAAACGTTTTTATTTATTTTCGTGTTCTTTTAAAAATTGTTTAAAAATTATTTTATCAAAGCTATTTTTTGTTGCAAAGTATTTTTTTAATTTAAATAATAGTATCGTTATATTATTAATTTAAAAAGAGTCGCACATCTTATGAATATTGATGTCAAATTTTCACCTGAGAAACACTATTTAGATGCAAAAGAAAAATTAGATTTGCGATAGAATACAGCTAAGTCAATCACTGGGACCCAAAAATTTCATTCAATGATTCCAAGGAGCAATGGAAATTCAGGGTGATTCAGAACTTATCCAAAAAAAAATTCTGATGTACAGGGGACCCTTACAAATACAATTTTATAAAGAAAAAATCAAAAAGGGCAGTTCGAAAATGATTTAAAAATACACTTCTGCACGGTACTGGAAACTGGTCCACTGTAAATCCTGACCTCACACAATGCGACCGGCATAGCGGTGTGACAAAAACTGACAAAAACAGACCAAAAACTTTCGCAAGGAAAGAAATACGTAAATAGAATTTTATCGCACCTATTTTATATCGGCAAATTTAACTGCTTTTGCCTTTATTAATTAATAACATTAATTTGTGTTTTTAAATAATAAAATCATTTGACGTACTTACCCGATGTTACAACAATTGTTCCACCAACGTGTAAACACATTTGGGTCCGTTGTACTCAGTTTCTATGATCTAACACAAATGTTGTCTTGTTTCACCATAACACAAATGCTTCACCATAAATTAAAACGATATCCATCAACTCTGAGTTGCTATACAGCAAACCATTTTTGACACTAACTACTAAAAACCTATTGTAAACACCACATATTACTACTATCGCAACGACGATTGCAAAATCCGATTTCAGTATTCGGAGTTGCTGACGCCACGTGGCGAATGACGCTAGAGACTACAGTTGTCCAGCTATGTAGTGGTTGAATGTACTATAACTTCAATATTTTTTTTCTCGGAAACTATAAGGATTTTACAATATTGATTCCATTGCTCATGCTGCACCTATTCCCAAATTTTTTTGGATAAGTTGTGAATCACCCTGTATATTAGCTAAGGAGTATTCTAGTTTACAAAATAATATTTTGTTCCATGGAATGATTCAATGAAATTTTGGGTTTGTTTGAGTTTGGCTGTATTGTAACGCAAATCTAATTTTTTTTGCATCTAAATAGTGTTTCTCAGGTAAAAATTTGACAGTAATATTCATAAAATGTGCAACTCTTTTTAAATTGGATAGAAATTCATAAAGATACTATTATTTAAATAAAAAACATACTTTGCAACAAAAAATAGCAGTGATAAAATAATTTTTAAACAATTTTTAAAAGAACACGAAAATAAATAAAAACGTTTGTTATAATTGTTTATAAATAGACAACGTTTACTTATTGATTTTAAACACCTATTAATAATTAAAAAGTATTAAAATTAATTTAAAATAAGTAAAAAAGAGTATACAGTGACAAAAATCGGTACTTATAATTTAGAAATTTTTTTTTAATTTTTAAAAATCAAAATAAAATAGTAATTATGGAGGGGCCACGACAGGACAGGTCCTATAAGTTATTACAAGAGTAATAGTTTGAAATAAAATATTTTCACAAAAATACAATATATAATTTCAAAATAAAAAATCTGAATCAAAAACACATTGAATATATTTTTTTTATTTTTATCTTTAAAGGCTATCTAAAAAAAAATGTTATAAAAATTTTAATTAATTTGGAAAAATGATCAAACAAATTTGAAAATTTTATATCTTGAACAAGTAATCAAAAAAATCTCACAATTTCCCAGAAAGGATTCTTTGAAGGGTACTAAAAAATATCCAAAAAATTAAGGAAATCGAAAATTTAAATTTTTCGAACTGTCCGATTTGGCGTGGAATGCCCCATATATAATAATTGAATATAATAATAATATNTCTCAAATCGAACCGTCGCGAACGGCCAGATCATCTCAAAATATTAAATTACGATCTGACACACATGTTTTCTAACAAATTAATAGATGTAACAATAATAAATAATAATAAATAATATAATATAATTGAAACTTACACCTTGTGGTCTGTAATTCTTCATTTTGTCCAGCAAACTCTCTCTTTCATCCTCTGCGATTTCTCCAAATTTACTAAAAATCGAATGAATCGAGCAAGTAGACAAAGGGAGCTCTTTCACTCGTCTATTACTATCGGAAGATGCGGCGGGTCTGGATCTAATATACTGTTGGTATCCATTTTCTGCTACTTTCCTCAAACTGACCTAAAAATGAAATATTGCTGCACTCTCAGCATACTAAGGCAATTACTATTCTTACCAAATCTGCGTAATTTTCATGTAGAGTTATCAAAGAACTTTGCTGTTCTTCTAAAAGAGATTGTGGTATACGTCCGACAACTCCGTCTTTTTTTCCTGGGGTGGATATGGAAAGCGGACGGCCCAGGAACAAGTGTAGATCCAGTAGGTAGGCGTATTCATCGGGAGATATTAAGGAATAAGCTGTGCCTGACCTGCCAGCTCTGGCACAACGACCTTAAAGAATAAATTTAAAAAATTAAGTTATTAAGCGTTTATTACAGTGAAACCTCTGCTTACAGATACCATCTCTGAATAGCGGATGACTTTAAATAGTTTAAATAACAAACAATTTTCCTTTTATGGGATTTTACAACGGAGTTTTTTTAAATTATCATTTTTTAATAATGAACCCTCTATAAAATGGATGCAGAGACTATATTTTAAGAAGACATGAAAATATATGTTCAATAGCGGACAGACTAGTTAATGTATGTATCTACCAACTATTATTCGTTTAATTCTGGTGAATGACTTAGATTGGTTTTATTGCTCCTATGCGTACCCTTGTACGGCTGTATATATATAACAAATTTAAATTTATGACTATACACAATCATTGCAAAATTAAGTGTGCTGAGAGAAATAGAAAAGTGTTATTCGGTACATATTTTGTCTAATTTTATATTGGTCTATGATAGTACCAATATGGATTTCCAAAAAAGAAAGCGTCTATCTATTCAAGATATCCTGAATATTATTGCAGCCAGCGAACAATATAATTTAAATGTCCGAAGATTCACAAAACAGTTTAATGTCGAAAAAACGCAAGTTATTGTTGTTACGATATCAATCGGAACCCGTGAATCTTAAAGCACAGGAACATCTGCACTTCTCTTGAAATTTCTTCGTGTGCTTTAGCCATTATCTGTCTCTTAATTTATACTTGAATAGCCATTGGGCGAGTTCGGTATTGGTAGACCAGTCCGCCTGATGTAGAATCGACGGCGGCACGCTGGTCGTCAAAGCAAACCTGTATTGGTCCACTAGGTCATACATAATTTTTTGCATGGTATTCTATAATTAGTTTAGTGTCGAACGCTGTTCACTTGGTTTTGCCAGTTCAGTGGAAATCAGTGCTTGGCTTTGTTGTTTGTTGGTATAATATGTATTATTAATTATTAGTTAATATTATTATTTGTTCATATCGTAACCAGTAAAAGGTAATAGTTATTAAAATAAATATTATATATGTAATTATCTAGTAATTTAGCATGGCTTTCTGGAGACCCTTTGAAACGGAAGATAACGAAATGACCCGGGAAAATCCCCAAATAGTCGAGCCGGTTTTTGTCGAAAGCGTCGAAACAAACTCAAAGTTTAAAAACAAAGATTTACAAGTTCAAAGTCAACGTATTATTTTGAATATATATGAATGTTTTAAAAGAGAAAATAGTGAACAATGTGATAAAGAAATTAGGAAACGGATTAGCGATTAACTAAGATATCAAAAACGACAATTTATAGTATAATTAAAGAAGAAGACGCTATTAATCACGGTACAAAGAAGAAACGGAAAAATACAAAATTAAAGAATATTGACGATTTTACCATAGATGTGATACGGCGCACAATTTATAATATGTATAAAGAAAATAAAGTTCCTACTTTAAACATGATTCGAGATAAATTAAGAGATTATCCTCATTATAATTATAAATCTTTAGATACTTTACGACATGTATTACAATGCGGTTTTAAACATAGAAAACTTGACAATTGTATGGTAATTATGGAATCACAATGTATAGTTGCACTTCGGGAAGATTATTTACAAAAAATTTGAAAATATCGTCAACTAAATAAGAACATAGCTCGGAATATAGAATATCTAGACGAGACAGGGCAAAATTTTTCTGGACGCCTATGGATTCCATATAGTTTACGAGTTTAATGTTTTCATGCGATTCCAACTGATATCGTAACGACTATAGCAATATATTGAAAAATGAAAGCGTAATTAAAAAAACCTGGAAAAAGAAAATTTCCAGACTGATGAAACAGTTTTTAATTAGTTCTGTAAAGTATGAGACAAGAATATTTCTGAACCATTACGCATAGAAATAATTATTAGAATTATACTTTATTCTCGTTTTATTTATTATGTTCCAAAATTAAACTGATTATTTGCTTATAATAATAAGCAATGTTTGTATGTACTTACCTACTCTATGTACAAATAATTTAGCTTTCGCTGGAAAATTATAATTAATAACGTTTTCCAACTGCGGTATGTCTATACCTCTAGCAGCAACATCCGTTACGATAAGCACCTTCACTTTCCCACTACTAAATTTTGCAGCATGAATTTTTCTTGCGGATGGATCCAGATTAGAATAAATATATGTATTACTTATTCCCACATGATCGAGGATCTATAACAAAAATTAATAATTATTTAAAACTTAAAAATTCACTTAGCTTCGTCTTACCATATGCAAGTATTCAACATGATGTTTTGTAGCAGCAAAAATCACCGTTTGTTGTTTAGAATCTAAGTACGACTTTAAAAGTACCAACAGTGCTGCTAATTTTTCTTCCGCCCTTACAGTGAGATACCAACACTGAAGTTCTGTCGGTAATTTCGATTCAACATCCAATCTAGAACAAATATGCATGTATTTGTTAATTTTTTGATATTCCAATAACAAACCTTAATAGGACTGGGTCACTTAAGCCAGCTTTAGCAAATTCAACCAATACTTTAGGTAACGTAGCAGAAAATAACACCGTTTGCCTGGTATCTGGCAATTTCTGAACTATTTCTGTCAACTGTTCTCCTAACCCCATTTCAAATAACCGGTCGGCTTCATCTAGTACTACATATTCGATACTGTTTAATTTCAGCTCCATTTCAATGCAAACATGCAAAAACCGACCAGGTGTAGCTACTATAATATCTGGATTTCCATGAATAGCAGAAAATTGGTCATCCATAGAGTCACCACCCAGAATGACAGCTGCTTTTAGACCCATAAAACGACCAATCTCTTTTATGAACTTAAGCGTCTGAAAAGAAATAGGTTAATATAATTTTTTTACACAAAGTTCAACTGATTTACCTGTAACGCCAATTCTCTTGTTGGAGACAAAATAAGAGCTCTTGCGCCCGCCTTAGCACTTCGTAATTTAAGCTTTTCAAACAAGGGTATGAGAAAAGCTGCCGTTTTACCACTTCCTGTTCTAGCCATGGCTACTACATCTCGACCTTCAAGAATAAGCGGTATCGTCTAAAATAAAATTATTACATAAAAGGTACACATAAAATATATCAATTACAATTACCTTTCGTTGGATTGGAGTTGGCTGTTTGTAGCCTCTCTTTATTATACCTTTTAAAACATTAAAATTCAAATTCATAGATTGAAAACCTCCACCTTTCTTTACGGGTTTTTGTTTAACTTTCTCGTCCACATCCTTATTAAGTCCATCCCCTGCATTTAGATCCGCAAAACCAGGTACTTCATGCATTTTGCTGCACTCGACTTAAAACATAAAAATGTGATAAAATTATCAAAAAATGTTCGGATAAACCATAACCTTCATACTTGGTTATTTGCACTATTTGCAGGTTAATGATCTTGATCATGGCCCGAGAACTTATACTTGAAAATATGGGGAAACTGGGAACCACGTGACTTGAGTCACGTTATTTACTTGTAATATTTTTTTATTCACCGTGAAAGCTAATACAATATAGAAAGCACTGAAACTCTATAATCATTTTCACTCTTTTTTTTCAAAATATGTACTGAAATTTGAAATTTTTTCAACAAACATTTTAAAAAGTTAGTATCAAAATGATTTCTTATTTTAAGTAGGAAGACTATTAGAGCATTTAAAAGTGTCTTTAATGCGTGAGTGATTTTAATGCTTTTTATTAAATGTACTTATTTTCTCATGGTGACACGCCATTATTCCATGGCTAGAAATTGGCCTCAATGATTTGGGATCGAGGGGGATTATCCCTCTTTATCCTGCCTCATCTCGTGTAGGCCTGGACAGCCTTCGTAGGTGGGCCCCATCGTCGTCTACCCCGACCGCAAATGCGGCCGGTGTAGGCGCTTTGTGGAACCTCCTTTTGTCCTGGCTGGGCCCCGCCGGCTAGGGCCCTTTCTTCTGGCGCTAATCGACATGACCGACAAACACAAAAGACCTAAATACTAACTTTTTGACCCTGGGTGACCACCACGGATTTCTTAAATTAAATTTAAGAAATCCGTGGTGACCACCCAAACGACATCCCCCCTGCCCGCTAACCTTTTCTGTTTCAGAGACAGCCAGGATCAAGAAACGAAGACAACGACACACACATACACACACCCCCCCATACTCTCCTTACCTCTCCCTTCCCGCGCTAGCCTAAGGGCCACCTTAGCAAAGCGCATCCCAGGTTGCATAGCCGCACTACCCTACCCAACCAAAACATGACACCACCCCCGGGGTTTACACAGACGAGCCGGCGAAGCAAGAAGAGCGCCAGAAGGGCCCTAGCCGGCGGGGCCCAGCCAGGACAAAAGGAGGTCCCACAAAGCGCCCACACCGGTCGCATTTGCGGTCGGGGTAGACGACGGATGGGGCCCACCTACGAAGGCTGTCCAGGCCTACACGAGATGAGGCAGGATAGAGTGATAATCCCCCTCGATCCCAAATCATTGAGGCCAATTTCTAGCCATGGAATAATGGCGCGCGATTGAAATAAAACTCAGTCAACGGATCAATGAACGTTCTTTCTTTAGTGATCCGTGATAAATGATCCATTCTCCCACTTTAGTAGTTCCTTTCGTTTTGAGAAAACCACAAACCTAATGGTCTGAATCAAACATCGTTAATACTAACGTATATTTTAAATTACCAAAAGTACCCTTAAAAATTGGACTATTTCAGAAAACTATTTTTTTAAATCTAATTCGTCAGCAAAAGAGAAGTTTTTAAGTGAACACAGTATCCAAGACAAATTAATAAAGATTCTTGTTTACATTTTGACATTACATACTTATACATATTAAAAAAAAATATGTACCCGATACAGTTAATAAAAAGATTTAATAATAAAAACCAAACACATTGTGCACATTTATTAATACACAATAACATATACAAAGACATCATGTTCAAGGTTCTTCCTCCTGGAGCTTGGCCAAGAAGGACTTCTTCTTCTGCGCCACGCGATCTTTGCGTTCGGCCACAGTAAGTTTCCTGCGGTTCCATCTCTTTTGTTTGGCTGGAGGGGCCTGTTCTGGCTTCTTCTCATGCTCTGGATTAGCACGGATAGCGGTGTGGGCATTCTTGTAGATAGTTTCAATCTGTAAGAAATTATTATTTTATCTCTTCAATTTTTACACAGTGGTTAAAGTTTGATTCACCCAAATAAGAACACCCTGTATACTTCTGAGAATGTATCACGTTTTCAACACATTTTCAACAAAGATTTGCAAAAATATGTGAACAAAACATGAGTTGCTGTTGTCCAATTGCGACACAGAAGTTTAACGGACTTAAACCACTGTAATTTAATTGGACGTAAACATCACTTTAGTCAAATTGTGTTTCACTTACTTGGTCAGCATTGATTCCCAGCTTAATGTACTGACTAAACTGCCTCTTGAAAGCCTCTGGATCCTCCTCCTCCAAGGACCTCATGTAATCGGCGACATGGTTACCGAAAATATGGGAACGGTGAACTTCGGCATTGAAACTTTTCGATTCGTTGTCATACCCTGGGAAACGTTTGGTGGAATGGGGAATGTTAAGGCCACCATCGACCGCACCCTTCATGGCGGCAAAGACACGAGCTCCGGTAGAAGTACGCTGGAGACCAACGTCCAGGTAACATCTGGTGGACAAAGTTTTACTCAGCGCATGTTTTAATAAATTATAAAATCTTCACTAAATAATGAAATGTCAGAGACACATTATAATCAAGATTGTGATTAACCTTGGCCTACCGTTGGATTTCATGATCATAAAACATGGCCATGAGCTATCAGTATGCTTCGATTGTTACACATCAGATGACGCGCATGTGTCGGAAATTCATCATATTAATTAGAATATTGAGTACAACTAATTTTACCAAAAAACTATAAAACATCCACAGATCGCTAACAGTTTCAAAATATAACTTTAATGTAAGTTTGTACTGTTTGAAAGTATCATGTCAAACTTCATCTTACGTAGGCATTTTATGCTATAATATATAATTACCACAATTACTAACCTGAAAGCACCTGGTCCATTTTCGACACCTTCAACATTGTATTCGTCACCAGTGACATCGGTAGTACCTTCGTACAAGTTATCCAAACCTAGTTTCTTCAACAACCGACGGGCCAACAACAAACCAGTTGCGTAGGCAGCAGCGTAGTTTGTCAATCCTGTTTTAATGCCATACTTAGGCAACTCGTGGGAGTACGCAGCGCAAACAATTTTATCACCCTCAATACGAGAATAAGCGATCTGACAGGTAATGTTACGGTTTGACAATCGCACTATCAAACGGTATTTTGGTGTGTTATATTTGTTCTTATCTTGAACAATTAAACGTTTGCGGGCATAGTAGTCGGTTTTGCCTTGACGACGCCTCTTAAATTTGACTTGATAACGCTTGAAGTACTGCTTATTCTTCACAACTTTCACAAAACCCTGAAAATAAGAAAAAAGCTTATACAATATAAATAATCACTTAATAGAAATAAATAACGAGTAAAAAGATTCGTAAAAATGTAGTAACAGAAAATACTTAAGACATGCATATTTTTGACATACCAACATGCCATCCTAGATTTGTTTTGGTAAATCTATAATCATCCTGCAGTATAAATGTTGAAATAGTAAAAAAGGGTATTTTATGAAAATGAATGCATGCTTAGTTTTTGAACTTAACAATATTGGTAACATTTCACTCACCATTTTTAATAATTACTTAAAAATTGTAACACAACCGAGGCACAACTAGCCGCCACGGTCTTGTTGGAAAGAAGACCGCTCATGCGCGGAAATGACGACATCTATATTTTGACAGTACAAGTGACACGGCTTTAGAGCTTCACGAAAATTAACTCCTACTGATATAGACTTGTTCTCTCTCTCTAAAATCATAAGAATGATAAAGATAAAGATAGTGATCGAAGCGGTCCAAGTGAATGATTGAAAACGCCTTTTGATTGTGTTAATCTGATCAATAATCTTATCGCTTGAAAAGTGAACCGTGTGTAAAGTGAAATGTTTGTTTGTACAAAAATAGCTGTTCACATATCGGATGTATCAAAGGATAATTAGTAGTGAAAACACATTTTTATTCAAAAAATAGGCAATAAACTCAGGAATCATTAAATAAAAATTAATTCCAAAATTTGCTTTCTCTTTTTTCCTTACGTACTTTCACTTTCTAAACCTGCAATAAATAATCGACAAAAATATAGAATCTATAATTATATAAAAATGAAAAGTGAATCTATTAAACAGTCTAATTAATGTATCTGCTAAATAAATATGTATATTGGGCTACACAGTACTGCTCGGCTGGTACAGTGGTACACCGATAGCAGTGTATAATTTGGCGGGGCCCAGCCAGGACAAAAGGAGGTCCCACAAAGCGCCTACACCGGCCGCATTTGCGGTCGGGGTAGACGACAGATTGGGCCCACCTACGAAGGCTGTCCAGGCCTACACGAGATGAGGGATAATCCCCCTCGATCCCAAATCATTGAGGCCAAAAAAAAAACAAAACAAACAGTGTATAATGAAGGAAGGAATAATTATGACAGATTCGGCTCAAGTATGAATTGCCCTGGCGGCCCCTTACGAAAATACGAAATCCTAGACAGCAAAATGAGCCGGATTTATCATTAAAGGTTTTTGCTTCCGAGAGGTTTGTGGTCAAAAGTAACGTTCGATATTAACATCTAGATCACATCTATGCTTTAGACATTTCTTTTTTTCTTTTCATTTGTTGCATTTAAAAGTTAAGTTAAAACATAAGCTGCTTTCCAATTGCCCGGGAACTGTTCCTAAAGTGTTCTTCTTTCTTCTATACTGTTCTACTCTTTATAGGAACACCTCTGTGAGAAACACTAATTTCAATAATATTCAAGTACTTCTTTTTAATATTCTGAGCCAAAATAATAACCATAGTGAAACATATATTAAAAATCCACCTAGTGGAAACAATTTGAGAATATAAAGCTCATCATCATCAGTAAAAGGTTCGCGCGAGGGGGTAGGGGAAAACAAAGAGGAACACTTTAAGAGTAAAATGTTCCAGTTTACTGGAACGCAAAAAGTTAATCTGAAAGTGCTTTCGAACTAGATTTTTCATCAACTGGAAAACAGCTATAATAAAACGGTTCCACTCCACAGCAGCCATGTCAATATCGAAGGCCTTTCGATTTGGCAAAAATAGTAGCTATTAATAGCTAATAGCAATTTAGAGTTACTCTGAACTGATATTAGTTGCTATTAGGTAGTATTTTTGCCAAAAGGAAAGTCCCTATATATCGAACCGAACGCTACTAAGGTCAAAATCCAATATTGAGGTTAGAAATTTAAAATTATTAAATGATACTTTTTTTATGTGCAGAAAAATAAACAGTCAAAACAGTTCAGAGACAAGACAACTCTATACTAATCGCAATGTTGAAAAGTTGAATGTGAGAAAATGTGTCAGAAATTGTTCAATATTTATAGTTTTTGATTAAATATGGAAATGAAAAAAGTGTTTGTAACTGTAGGTACCACTAAATTTCCGAAATTAGTTGATGCAATTACTACTAAAGAAATAATAGAATCTTTGATATCGAAGGGATACAATTTTATTCAGATACAAACAGGACGAGATTTTTCAAAAGTTACACTTGATCCTAATATATCACCAACACCAAGTGTTAAGTCAAAAGGAAACTCTATTATTGTAAATGTATTTGATAAATTAACGCTCAAGTATGATCCTTATTTTGAAAATTTTACGGAAGAAGTTGAAAGTAGTGATCTCGTTATTAGTCATGCTGGTGCTGGAAGTTGTTTAGAAGTTCTTCGAAAAATGAAACCATTAATTGTAGTGGTTAATGAAGATCTGATGGATAACCACCAAGTTGAATTAGCAGAGCAACTTCAAAATGATGGATATGTATATTATAGTACCTGTTCCACTTTGAATGAAGTTTTAGGCAAAGATATGTCAAAATTAAAACCTTATCCAAAGCCAAATATTCATGTATTTTCACAATATTTAGATAAATGTATGGGATTTACTGAATAAAATATTTTATAACGCTTGCGTAACATAAAAAAATAGTTGGTGTTTTAAAATTAACATTCCCTGAACAAATTAATAAATAATCTTTATTTATATAAAAAAAATTATAAATTTACAAATTAATAACAATTTAATGGCGAATTGATGAAAAATGTTGTTAAGGTGTAACAGTAACAGATAAATGTGTCTACACGAATTCTCCATTAAAATTTGAACAAAAAGTTACACCAATTTCTTTGCCTCAAAGAAACTCTTCAAATGCTTCATCTGCCAAGCTCCCATAACTAAGAGTACCGCAGTTTGTGTGACAGACCACCACAGAACTCTGGAGTTTGTGCTTTCACTAGTTTGTCTGAATCGTTCTTCTCGATACTGCAACAATACATTAGTGTTAATTTGTAACTTCAATTAAAGACAAATTTGTGCTTACTCTTTGATAATTTTGTTCCTTAGTAATTTGTTCGACTTGATCCAGAAGCTGCCTAATCCTGAGTTGCAACTCTGTTAATTTTTCCTTTTGCACGACTTCTCCATAGTTAATAGCATGTTCACCAACTTGTATATCCAAATGAACTCTCAACTGTGATCCACTGAACCAAGCTGTGCTGTTGGAATACATGCAAATAACATGCTCACCAGGTATGTGAGATGTGAATGAGATTTTTCCCTCGGCACTATAAACCCTCGATAAAATTATTTTATCATCCGGATCTCGTACTTCAACATGCATTCCAATTCCAGTAGAGGATGGCATGTATCCCCCACTTCTAGGATCATACAGCTCTACCTTATAATTTACTGAAAATAAATTACTGATAGATTTATACAAGATTAAGTGGCGGCATTTTTTGTATCAAATATTATATCTAACTGGCAAAGGATATTGTAGTGCTTTTATAGACTAGCCCAAACAATAATTTGTCTTTGCCACCTGGTAAAGGACCGCCGAATATAAAAATATGCCTTACCTATAACATTGGTTTCATCTGGTATTTCTTCTATAAAACATTTCCTTTCCGTTTCGCCAATATGGAAATACAAAGCATTCGAAAATGTAGCTAGTATTAGAAAAATTACTAGAGGTAAATAAATGGACTTCAACATTTTCGTTTTATTAATTCTGAAATGCTACACGACTACACGTCAGCCGTCAGACGTGAACCCAATTTTTTAGAAACAAAAAAAATCACAAAATAAGCAATCGAATCAGCAAAGAAATACGTCAATTATAATTCATTTCCTTTTTTTTGCTTAACGAAATAGGTTAACTCCATGACATTAGTGATCTGATCCAACATTCTAATTATCTGATCTAATTATAAACAGCACTATAAACGAATTTGTTTTTCTAAAGAGGGTTTACAAAAATTCTCTGCAGGTGCTCAGTTCACTATCTCCGTCGTTATTATTCTTATGGTTTTAGAGAGAGAGAAAGAGAATGATATGTCTAGAGCCCTTTCCTTTTATTCATGATTTCTGAATCATAACGATCCGATGGAGACCAATTTAGGTTGCTAGATTTCGGATCTTTCACGTATAATATGAACTGTTTACAGTTTACACCATAGAACATATAATGTTTACACGTGGTCTATGGTTTACATTATCTACAATAACACCAATCCATTCATTTCGCAACTGTGTAAATTTTTCACTACCTCTGTAAAAAACGATATTGGTGTTGGTGCACTAAATATATTTCACTTTTTTTATAATATGGCAGATGGAACAAATAAATATACATTACGATTGTGAAGTCAGAAATCTTGAGCATATGAATAATTCATAATTCATAGCTTTATTTCCAGTGCATTAGAAACGTTTTCAACGGTCAGACGCAATTGCATTTGTTCAAAACAATGAATTTTGAATCTTATGTAACATCTTATGTATGATGTCAAATGTATAATACACATGCATCTGAGTTTTGCAAATGCAAATTATTCTGGATACTTCATATTACAAAGGGGTTTATGATCTGAACTAAGCTGAAATGAAATCTACAATTTAGAATTTATCTAGTAAATTTCATTTAAAAGGTTGATGACGTAAGTGACGTTGGTGTTAGTGTTTTTGGGTAACTATAATTTGTCAATACAAATGTCATAATTGTCATTGATAAAAAGCAGCAATCACTTAATGAGCAATGGATGTGTAGTGTAGAAAAGTGGAGAAATACTACATTCGTAAATTTACGTTTGTTTTATTTTCTGTAACCCGTAAATAAGACTGATCCTATGACTCCAATGAAGGAAGCTTCACCGCCAGTTTCTGCTATGGCCACCCCAACAAACAGCAGCGGCAATTTGGTGGATGAATTTGAGGAGGCTTTTCAAGTAAGTAATTTTTTTTATTTTTTGTATGTGTTTATACTCTTCCTACGATTTCAGCACTGCCTCAATGTGCTTACCAAAGAGGAAGCGGTACCTACATCGGACAAGGATGAAATAAAAGTCGAAATAGAACAAACTACGTTACGTTTCATAGACCTTGCTAGACAAATGGAAGCATTTTTCTTACAAAAAAGATTCCTGCTGTCTGCATTAAAACCTGAAATGAATGTGAAGGAAGACATTAATGAGTTACGTTTAGAGTTAGCTAGAAAAGAGGAGCTTTTAAAAAGACACTATGAAAAAATTGCTGTATGGCAAAATCTGTTAGCCGATCTACAGAGTTACTCAAAGAGCCCAGCTCAGGGTAGTGCCACTTCGGGAGGGGGGTCTATTCCACCTTCTCCTTTACCTAATATCCCAGGAAATCAAACTCCCAATCAGATCATGCCAAGTATGTCGCCGGCTATGCAACAGCAGCTCCAACAGCAGCAGCAACAGCTGCAAATGCAACAGATGCAACAGCAACAAATGCAGCAGCAGATGCAACAGATGCAGGTAGACCGACGTTGATCTCATGGAGAGCATGTTTGTTTTGTAGATATTTATTTTTAGTACACATTTTCTAATTAAGGTAACTGATAATCACAAACTTAATTAATAGATAAATCAGCATAGACATTTGATCTTGTAAATACCTAACATGTTCTCTTCATATTAGGTTTAATGTGACTGTGAAATGGATCTCCATTTTTTTTATAAATGTTATATACAAATCCTCTACCAAAAAGTATGCAGTTTTTTAATCAAGTTTGATCATCTTCACTTACCTTTAAAATCGAAACATACACTTTTTGGTTTTTATACTTTTATTTTGAATTTATTTTTAAAATATTTTTATGAAATAAAGATCTCTGCAAGGGTTTAACAAGTGAGAAGCCTTAATATCCAGCTTCTGCAACAGAAAGTATATTTTTTATAAAAGTGGATGTCGTTTGGTGTACGGACCCAACAATGCATACTTTTTGGCATGCATGATAAGCAAAGTTGATTTATTGTTACAAGACCGTAGTACTGCCCTTTTAGTCACTCGTGTATGTATATTTGTGTACTAACTCTCAGGGTTTTTAGAAAGTGGCAATATTATTTGATTTTGAGGAATGATCAAATAAATGTGATATGTACAATGTAGCTTAAAAAATGTACTAAATGTATACATTGTCTACTTGCTCAAATGTGCCTTTATTGGATTTTTTTTCTGTTTTAATAAGTGTAAATTATATCCCTGAAAGAATTGTTGCAGATCTATTATTTTTATCATTTAATCTCTCTAATGTATAACGTGTGCAGATTATAATAAAATTTTCCAAAATTTATTGCGTTTTATTTTTCGTTTTCGGCTGCAGTCTAAAAATGGAGGGTTGGTATTCACAAATATATACATAAAATTCTACCAATGAATGTTTCTGTATATTTCTAGATATTTTGAAGAGTTTAAATATTGTGTAATTGGTTCAATAATTTATTTTAAAATAACGTGTACCAAGAAAATTTTTCATTCATATTTATGTTTTTATTAAGAAAAATGGCGGCAATATAATACAACTTCGTTAATGAGAATTTATTAATACACAATAAGGGTAAGAAGGTAATTGTAAATTCACAGGACATTGTACTCGATAGAAATGTGCTGAAATGCGAGTGAAAAACATTTCAGACAACTCGACAAATCTTTTAACTCCCATTGTTTTCAGATAGCACCTGGTTTGAGTGGTGGCGCAGTGGGACCGGGAATGCTGTCCCCTCAACAAGCAATATTCATGCAACAGCAAGGTATGGGCACATCTCGGGGTCCTTTTTCCCAACAGGGCCCCGGGGGAGTCCTACAGGGCCCTTTAGCCTATCTTGAGAAAACTACAAGTAACATAGGTAAGTATAAAATACTTGTTTTACAGATATATTTAGAAGCAAGGTCATTAGCAAAGTGTGGATTAAGTAGTAAGTTTTGTTGTTAAATATTGGGAGGTATTATGACGAGTTCGGCGACACGCAGCTCCTAACAGAACCGTGTTGACAAAAAATATGTCAAAGGGACAATACTAATACTAAATAATGTGTTTCGTAAACAACTGAAAAGAAAACCGGCAGAGTTGGCCGATAATTACTCTGTTAAGTGCCTTGTCTCTCGAACTCTAAAAATGTTTTACGAGTCGATATTTTGATGTACGAATAAGAAATAAGCTTGTTTTGAAGGCCGATTATAGTTTTATGTAATCATTTTGCAACTGATGAGCTGTGGAACATTTTATTTTTTAAGTAAATCTGATTTTGCAGGGATAACGGATGGCCGTAGGTGACGCGGGCGCGGGAGGGGGCGAGGTAGAGGAAGGGGCAGAGGTAGAGGCCGTGGCCGCGGGGCCTTGCCGGACTATGTATCCCCTTAATCCCCCTCCCTGGCCGGGTCCAACGGACCCGGCAACGCGGCACCGCATTCCACCGTACAGGGACACGAGGCGGAATCTCTCAGATGTTATATGTCTAGTATGTTAGTGTAAGCATTGTTTATTTTCCTTATAACCGTCAGCATTTTTAAATGTATTTAGTCAAAATTTTAAATATATTTAAAAAAAAACTTGTGGTGGGAATTGTGTACCGCTGACACAACCGCAGGAGTTAGGTACAAGGCGTGGATACATCATAAACTTGAAGTACCTGAGCTATAACTGCAGAGTGATACTAATTTGGAAAACTTGGAATCCTTAGGGAATTTCATAGATCTGGAGATATCGGAGAATTTCTCAAATTTTCATGGAATTTTTTTGAAATTCCAATTGCAATCGGTCTTTATTTACATCGCTGAAAAGTGCTGTATAATTTGTGAAGAATTTCTTGAACAAATTCATGAAGTTATTTGACAGCAGATTTGGTTGCCTCACGAAGTGACTTCACGAATAAATTCGCGATGTAGAACAGGTATAAATTCTAGCTAAAATGGCAATTTTATTGCCGTCACCATATAACTTTTAAAATAATACTAACGAAAAATTAAGAAAATGGCAATGATTGAAATATATTATACAGGGTGTTATGAAATTCGCGGACACGGACTGTGGCATCATATCTAGATAAAATGTCAAATAACGCCAGAGATGGTATGCGACTACGTTGGAGCAGTAGCACAATGTGTTGATGTATTTTTAGCAGCAGATGGTGGAAATTTTGAACAATTCGTTTGTCATAATTGTTTATCAAATGATTAAAAATTGAAAATTTTTATTATTTTTAGATATTTAAAATGGCTTGAAAAATATTGGTCTGATTGAAAAATGATAGATATTTTTTATAACCTTATCTAGCTTAACATGATCCCACAGTCCGTGTCTGCGAATTTCGGAACGCCCTGTATAACTGATATAGAGCTTATTTTTTCCAAACTGGACATTTTTTTAAATGTACCTGCAAAACCTGGGAATACAGAGTTAATATAATTTTCAAATGGATTTCCTGTTTTTGATGAAAAAATTCAAATTGTTGGTAAAAGAGCGCTCTTAAAATTTACAAGGTTAACTCAAATTAAACTGTGGTGATTTTAAAAGCTATAAAGTAAAAAAAAATTAGACTGGTTTGTTTGAGCCGAATCTCATTAGGTCTTATTTGCTTCTCTTCGATTTCTAACTAGTGCCATCAAAATCTGTTGGAAAAGTAATTTCCATAGCGCTCGCACACACACACAGTTTTTATGAATAATTACACAGGCCGACCATTTTCAGAACCAGAAACCGGACCTAGCGTACCCTAAAGATTTTGGTGCGCTGATTATGAATCCGAGCTCATAATTGGACCATTATCCTAGGTTCTCGAGATATTCTAACCTAAAAGTGCAAAAATCGCGGTTTTTCGCTATATTCGGGGTCAGATTACGTGAATTGATTTTTTTTCTAAAATCGCTTTAAACCATCTCAAAGTACCACTCTTACCCTCCTAAGTGCACTTTGATTTTTTGAAAATCTTTTTTTTCCATAGAGATGCGAGATTGAAGTTTAGTACTCCAGCGATTTCGTTACAACATGGAAAATTTAGGTTAACCTGTCGTAGATTTAACCCTCACTGGTTATTGCGCATTTAGGTTAATGTGTCGTAGATTATAGTGTATACATAGGTATTTGCTTCATATAGTATTCAATTTTAGGTTAGAAAATCTTGAAATATTGAGCTTAGCAGGTCTGTCAGTATTTTCAAATTCAGCGACTCTATATCTCGTTTTTGGATAAATTTTGATTATTTCAATGTTGTAACGAAATCACTGAAGTACTAAACTTCAATCTATCCCATTTTTGGCACTAAGTTAGTACTTAGTCGTCTGAATCGATTTATCCCTTTGAAAGTTAACAGCAAAAAACTCGTTTAATGTTTTTGTTACATCTCAATCTCTGGGATGGTTAATAGATGTATCCACGTCAAAATATTTTTTTTTGGGTGTTTTAAACGCATTGCTAATGTTTCAATTTTGTGGAGAATTCATAAAATGACTTTATTATAAGGAACGTAAGCAATTATAGTATTATTTACCTATTTGTAGATGTAGCAAAATATTATTCAAAAATTACTCTTTTGACATAATATTGTAAATATGCATTTTACTTCCATTATAAGTAACTCCTTTATTTTTTACTTATTTCGTGACGCCTTTATTCCTATATATATTGTTATTTCATTTTAAAGCGAATATAATTTGCTCTTTAATGTTTAGGTTACTTTAAATCATTTGATTACATAAAAACATTAAAATATCGTTTTGACAATTGTGTCTCTAAAAAAAATATATGTATATTAATCTGCACAAAGGTATATTAAAAGTATTGTTCAAGTTGGCAGCATCTTTTAGCCATTTTTTATGGGTAAATGAACTAATACCACCTAATACGTAAATTAGAGGGAAATATGGTTGTAATATTTTAAATCTATGTCTGAATAATATAAAATATGTAATAATTAATAATCACTTAAAAAGTAGTTCATTTACACCGGATCAGCTAAAAATTGCAATTACTATTACATGTATAAAAGTATTTAAGGGATTTTTTTTGTGGGCAATTAATGTTTTCTTTGTAAATTGTTTTATTATTCTGGAGTAATTATTGCGAGATTTAACAATATTAATGAGATTTCCCAAGTTCTCTTCCTTTCTGCACTCGTACAAACTATCGAATATGCCATCCCTTCTTTTTTCCCCTTCTCAGCTTCTCTTGTGGTAAATGTACTGTCAAATCAAAATTGAAAGCTGATTATTAGCATTTTGATACAGGATTTTCTTATAGGTGTACAAGTAAATGTACCTAATAAGCAAAAAACAAATGAAATTCTAAGACCCTAAAAAGGTGTATTTGGAAACTATAGCTTCCTCAAAATTGTAAATTCCAAATTTTTTTTTATGTGACAAAAGTTGTAAGTACAGTAGAACCTCGGTTATCCGGCCTTGCTTTATCCGTCCTCCCGATTTTCTGACCTCATGGCCGAAATGGCGATTCTGTGTTAACCGACGTTCATCCGTATTATCCGACATCCAATGACCTATGCCCGATTTCTGCTGTATTATTTCTTAAAAAATAATAAAAATAAATGAACCCGGATTATCCGACTTTTTCCACTAACCGACCTAGTGCCGGCCCACAATAGGTTGGATAATCGAGGTTCTAATGTAATAACAATTTCTTTCCGAAATCTACAATAGCGTGTTATAAAACCGTAAAAATAACTGTACAATTTATAAAGATCTATCTATTTTAAAATTTGCATATAAAACTCAACAGTATAAAATTTTTGGTATATTTTCATTTTTGTCAATTATATTATTTGCTTCATTTAATTTTTTCTTATTTAGTATCAAAAGAAAGAGGCAGTTTGTAATTTTATACCAATAACATGGTGATATTATATTTCGGATAAAAAAATTATTAGTATATTGGGCCACTAAAAAAATTGTAGAAGACGTAGACGATTTGATATTTTGGGAAGGCCACAGTTTCCAAATATCCGCCTTTTTTGGGATATATTAATAAAAAATATTTAAGTTACGTTTGTTTTTTACTTATGTTAATGGCACATACACCTATAAATTGGAACACACTGTACATGAGAAAATTAATATTTTCTTCTGGCAATAAAATATTTAGTATGTGAGATCTAATATTTCCTACAGAATCTTGGATTGTTACAACTTTCTATAATTTTAATATTAAAATTATACAAGTGATCATCATATTTCTCATATGTCAAGATATACGAAATGCTTAAATCGTTTGTCGTTTTGTAAAATGGGACAACAGTTTGACTAATAGATTTACATAAAATTTTGAACGAGTGTTAATAATTGCAACACAGTTTTTTTATATTATCTTTATTCCAGTACCATAAAATAGGTAAAAATATATGGCATTTCTTGATGGACATAAGACATAAAAACCTCCTATGCATAAAATACCATTTTTTACAGGAGGGTGAAAAAACAACAGCTATTTGGAGAGGAATTTAATTACTTTGCTCATAGAAGATTTACAAAAACACGGTTTTATACAAGAATGATGATAACTAGTAAATAGTAGGTTTTATTAAATAATAAAAGCAATGAAAACCAACCAATTGCATCTTCAAACTAAACACCACATAGGAGGTTTTTCACGCTCAACGATGATATACTCAATTATGTCATGAAGAGAAAAAACTCTTATTTGTAAAATGAGAAAATGTTATTTATAAAAATTTCTGCATCTCAAACTCTTGAAAATGTTACAACTTTCTTGATTTTACATACAGGGTATAAGTAAAGCAATAAAATATTTTAAAATATCGAAAAGTGTCATTAAAATAAACAGGGTGTTTCATTTCCGGTGTGCCGAACAAACACAGACGATAGAGAAAGTAATTTTGAGCAAAAAAGTTCATATCGACATGTGTCCGAAAACGCCCTCCTGTGGCGCTACCCCCTTAATGGGGGCCATTAAGACACAATTTTATTACAATATCTCGAAAATGCTTCGAAATAAATTGATAAAATTTTTATACAGAGATACCATTTATTACTACTATCGAGATAAATGAAATAGACCCCCGAGTTTGGAAACCGATATTAAGAAAACGTAGGGGCAAAAAAATTTGAAATTTGAACCCAGTTAGTTTTATTATCCCATTTTTTAGTTATTAATGAAAATGTTGAAAAAATCACGGTTTTCTGTCTACAAAATTGATACCTCTCACTTTAATTCGTCGTAATTTTTTTTGTTAATTGGTAAAGAAATTCCAAATTTTTACTGGCGATAAGTCGAACTATTGTCTAGTAATGTGGTCATTTGTCTCAGAAGGTCTTCTTTTTTTATTTTTAAGCAAAACAGGGGAGTGCTATCAGTAAATATTGCATTCTTTAAAAAAAGAAAAAAACTGACTCGAGTAGTAAATAATTGTAAACAACAATCTGAAAAAATTTGTTAAAATAATACAGTTATGAAGGCTGTATTGTATACCCTGCATCGGACCGTGACCGTCATTGACCATTCCGATACTGTTTTTAAGAATATCAAATTTATAACTGTATTATTTTAACAATTTTTTTCGAATTATTGTTTATAGTTATTTACTACGTATGTCAGATTTTTTCTTGTTTTAATAAACGCAATATTTACAGAGATAACACTCCCTTCTGTTTTGCTTAAAAATAAAGAAAAGAAGACCTTTTGAGACAAATAACCTTCACAGTACTAAAGACAATAGTTCGACTTATTGTCAGTAAAAATTTGGAATTTTTTTATGAATTAACAAAAAAATTACGAGTGAAAATGAGATTTATCAGTTTTGTAGGCAGAACTCTGTGTTTTTCAACATTTTCATTAATAACTAAAAATGGGATAACGAAACTAACTGAAATTTTAGCACACAATAGAGTCAATAGAGTAATAGTGAGGCTATGTATAGATTTCAAAATTTTTTGGCTCTACGTTTTCTTAATATCGGTTTCCAAAGTCAGGGGTCTATTTAATTTATTTCGATAGTAGGAATTACTTTATCTAAACCAAATTGACACATTATTTTCAGGGATGTCCCTACTGGAGGCAAGCCAAGGTTCAAAATCCGTAACTTTTTTTATTTGTTAAATTCGTAATTCTGCTTTCGAAAATCGAAATCCTTGATCATTTCTACATAAAAATGATATACTTGTTTCTTGTACGGAAAATAGAATTCTAGGTTATTTGTAATTTTTAATTTTCAGTAGAAGCATAAGAAGTTAA